GTGGAATATACATTGAATAAAAATATAAATGTAACATGTGTGGTCCTCTGTAGCTCAGCTGGTAGAGCACGGCGCTTGTAACGCCAAGGTAGTGGGTTCGATCCCCGGGACCACCCATACACAAAAAAATGTATGCACGCACGACTGTAAGTCGCTTTGGATAAAAGCGTCTGCTAAATGGCATATTATTATTATGTAAAGTGTTGGTCCCATGTTTCATGAGCTGAAATAAAAGATCCCAGAAATGTTCCATATACACAAAAATATGATTTATCACAAATTTTGTGCAGAAATTTGTTTACATCCCTGTTAGTGAGCATTTGTCCTTTGCCAAGATAATCCATACACCTGACAGGTGTGGCATATCAAGACAGTAAACAGGCGTACTTGTGCTGGGGACAATAAAAGTCCACTCTAAAATGTGCTGTTTTGTCACACAACACAATGCCAAAGGTGTCAAGTTTTGAGGGACCGTGCAATTGGCATGCTGACTGCAGGAATGTCTACCAGAGCTGTTCCCAGAGAACTGAACGTCCATTTCTCTACCATAAGGCCCCTCCAACTTTGTTTTAGAGAATTTGGCAGTACTTCCAACCGGCCTCACAACCGCAGATCACGTGTATGGTATTGTGTGGGCGAGTGCACAACTTGTAAACAGAGTGCCCCATGGTGGCGGTGGGGTTATGGTATGGGCAGGCATAAGCTACGGACAACGAACACAATTGCATTTTATCAATGGCAATTTGAATGCACAGAGATACCGTGACGATATCCTGAGGCCCATTGTTGTGCCATTCATCTGCCGCCTTCACCTCATGTTTCAGCATGATAATGCACGGCCCCATGTCACTAGGATCTGTACACAATTCCTGGAAGCTGAAAATGTCCCAGTTCTTCCATGCCCTGCACTCACCCGACATGTCACCAATGGGCATGTTTGGGATGCTATAGATTGACGTGTACGACAGCGTGTTCCAGTTCCCGCCAATATCCAGCAACTTCACACAGCCATTGAAGAGGAGCTAGAAAATTGTATATCATACATTACAGTTGAGGAACAATGGGAAAGTAATTCTGCATTGAAAGTTGATAAACTTGTCAAATCACTTCTGAGAAAATGTCCCTTAAATGTTTTGGTACACATACTGGAGAGCTCTTATTTGTCTACACCCATTCAGCATCGTTCACGCTCTCTTAAGCTTTATCCCCACCTATCACTTTAAGGATTCACATGTGAGGCCATGTACTAAACAACCAAAGATTTCAAGACTAAAGGCTGGTTTATACTACGGGTGTGTTTGTTAATTTAATCTGGAGTGCCAGAGTGTTTTCTGGGCTTTCGTAAACTCAAAGCGTTGTCAGAATGTCGGTTCATAAATTCAGAGCGTTTCGCTCTCGGCGCGTTCAAAGCGCACACTGGACCCTCTGGCCGAGGAATAGGGTTGATTAGAGCGTTCTAACCTAGGGTGCGTTCGTAAATTCACTCTGGCTATCTACTCCGATTTCAGAGCACTCTCGTCTGAGTGTGCCAGAGCGCAGAATAATTTACGAAAGCTCAACACCCGTTGAATATGGCCGGTGTCAGTAAACGTCGGCAAAAAAGCGTTATTAAATTGTTGCCAGCAGCACAGTTACAGTCACCAACGTTCTGGATAACATGAGAACAGCCTAACCAGCTCTGCTAGGGCGAGTAAAATGGTCAGAGTTAGGTGTTCTCTCATTTGTGTCTGGAAGTAGTTAGCAAGCTACCCAAAGTTAGCCAGTTAGCTTGGGTGCTTGACAAATTACTAACAGTAGCGTACAAGTAGTAAAATAGAAATCGATTGAACATGAAATGTATTTCAATATGATTGAAATTGGCCTATAGCCTACTGTTTATATTTTAATGCAGTTCTCGGTTTTCATTTGAAGCATCTTTTTATACATCACTTGGTTGTATCAATTGCAAGGACATTGGCAACTTTGTATTTGTAGTCAACTTTGTTCTGAATTTATTGGCGGTCAGAGACAAACCATGTGATTCTATGTTTAGCACAGATCTTCTGTGTATAAAGTGGCGCGGGAGGGCAAAAAATAATCTAACATGCTGACCACACCACCCACGTTGCGTGAGCGAGCGTTGCAAAATAAATTTCCTAAATCTGAATCAGGCCCTTATTCCCCAATATTGATGCCAATTATGATGGAAATTTGTTCAGTGGGTACTGAGGGAACATAGGTCTTAGGGAACATAGGGTGGACCCTTTATAAAGGCAGTATGAAAGTTCAATAACACATTCTTTCGTATATAAAACATGCGCTAGAATAATGAAAACAATGCACTTACAAGTAAATTGGGGTATATTATCCCAAACCACTGCATCCTTTGAAATGGAAGTCAATGTGAAATTGTTAGTACGGTCTTGAGAATTTATCCATCGATAAAGGCAATCTAATTCAACTTAATTTAAGGTTGCACCAAAGGCACAAGCTACATGTCCAGATATAATTATTATATTCACACTAACATTTAAGTTAAATGACTAACAGTACTTCACACCTACCTGAGATTGGACACCATTCGTTCACACTCAAAAGTTTTCGTGCGTATTCTTTAGTCCACCTCCATCGACATTTCGAAGCTGTCGTGCGATTGAAATATTTGTCAATTAATCCTCCTGCAGTACATTTCCTCAACAAAAGTAATTAACAAAAACAAGTCTGTCGTTGTTTGTAACCCTAAACTACTCATTCGATTTACATTTCATGAACTTGAGGGAACCTCCTAGGTGACATCAGATTTTATGAAGTGATGCGGAGCCTGAGCGCGCGAGAGAAGGTTGGGTGTAAAAGCACGGAGACGTTTCTAGCTCCGCGAGAGAAACAGAATGAGCTTACTCACAAGCTGTTGCACAATATGCATTAAAGGATACCAAAATATGCATGTATGGAGACCAGACGAAAAAACAAACAAAACAACAAAAACACAAGTCCAGAACTATGAATTTATTATACTCACTTTTAAATTGTGACATGATTGTGAGGTATCAAATCTTTACCAAGAGATGCAAAAGTGTCATATAATGAGAGAAGACAAAAAATTACAAGGACTTTGTGCAAGGTTTTAAGTGCAAATTATAGTTGACCCAATGAATGAAACCACTCCTTAGAATAGGTTGTGATATGTGACACCTCTAACAGCATTGAGTGAGCTACATACAATACAGAATGTTGTTGCGCCTTCACCTACATTTACAATGAATGCAAGATTATGAACAGACTACATAAAAAGACAGTTTACCAAGAATGAGAAGATCTTTCCCAAATAGTTACAATCCACTGCTGTGCAATTCAATTATATATCTCAAATTGTGCACAAATGTGTTTAAATGCCTGTTAGTGAGCATGTCTTCTTTGCCAAGACAATCCATCCACCTGACAGGTGTGGCATATTAAGAAGCTGATTAAACAGAATGATCATTACACAGGTGTACTTGTGCTGGGGACAATAAAAGGCAACTCTAAAATGTGCAGTTTTGCCACACAACACCACAGATGTCTCAAGTTTTGAGGGAGCATGCAATTGGCATGCTGACTGCAGGAATATCCACCAGAGGTGTTGCCTGGGAATGTTCATTTCTCTACCATAAGCCGCCTACAACGTCATTTTAGAGAATTTGGTCGTATGTCCAACCGGCCTCACAAGCGCAGACCACGTGTAACCACGCCAGCCCAGGACCTCCACATCCGGCTTCTTCACCTGTGGGATGGTCTGAGACCAGCCACCCGGACAGCTGATGAAACTGTGGGTTTGCACAACTGAAGAATTTCTGCACTGTCAGAAACCGTCTCAGGGAAGCTCATCTCTGTGCAAATTGTCCTCACCAGGGTCTTGACCTGACTGCAGTTTGGCATCGTAACCGACTAAAGTGGGCAAATGCTTACCTTCGATAGTCACTGGCATGCTAGAGAAGTGTGCTCTTCATGGATGAATCCCGGTTTCAACTGTACCGGGTAGATGACAGACAGCGTGTATGGCGTCGTGTTGGCGAGCAGTTTGCTGACGTCAACGTTGTGAACAGAGTGGTATGGGCAGGCATAATATATAGACAACGAACACAATTGCATTTTATCGATGGCAATTTGAATGCACAGAGATACTGTGACAAGATCCTGAGGCCCATTGTCATGCCATTCACCCGCCGCCATCACCTCATGTTTCAGCATGATAATGCTTAGCCCCATGTCGCAAGGATCTATACACAATTCCTGGAAGCTGAAAATGTCCCAGTTCTTCCATGGCCTGCATACTCACCAGACATGGGACCCATTGTGCAAGTTTGGGATGCTCTGGATCAACGTGTACGACAGCGTGTTCCAGTTCCAGCCAATTTCCAGCAATGTCGCACAGCCATTGAAGAGGAGCGGAACAACATGAGCCAAATGGTGGTCACACCAGATACTGACTGGTTTTCTGATCCACACCCCTTTTTTTTTTTTAAGGTATCTGTGACCAACAGATGCATATCTGTATTCCCAGTCATGTGAAATCCATAGATTAGGTCCTAATGAATTTATTTCAATTGACTGATTTCCTTATATGAACTGTAACTCAGTAAAATCTTAGAAATTCTTGCATTTTGCGTCTACAGTATATTTTTGTTCAGTGTATACATCTGGGGTTTTAGTGCAATTGGACAGAAAGTTCATTGTTGATTCTTTCTATTAATGGCATTGAGCCTGTAACCTTTTACATCAATCATCTGGGTTATGTTCATTAGAGCACACCGTAGCAATTTTTTTTTGGCCGAAAACAAGTGTTCCTTACTGGACAAGTTCAGATTGTACAACATTCCCATTTCCTGTTTTCGGCAGTTTCATGCCTACTGAACAAGACCCTGATCAGCTAATCAACCGCCTGCGCATCAAACCCAATGTGCATCGTCATTAGATGAAGACAACTCTGAAGAGAGAGAAACAATCTTAAGGGCTCCTCTGTTCCTTCCCATGTCGGAAGCTACCAGGGGCCCCTCCTTCACCGGACCCCTTTCCCGTGTGCTCTTCTCTGAGCCAGAAGACCCCCTCTTCTCCTCAGGGCCCTGGGGGTTGAAGGCAGTACTCAGGGACTGCAGGGCAGAGTGGAGCTCGTCCCGGGCTGCCATGACTGTCTGCAGGCAGGGCAGCTGTAGGTTAGATGAGACGGTGGCCACCCCTGTGCCGCCCCTGGGGAGGCCGTTAATGACTTTGTCGATGGTCTTGGAGGAGGTGGAGATAGCCTCTCGGCAGGCACTGAGGCTGGAGTCACTGCTTTTACCTGAGAAAGAGTTAAATACATGTATTTCATTTGTCGTTTGATTTCTTTGGGTCCCTATAGTGGCCAGAATCTAGCTTTCCTGGATGATTAGACTAATGATGGGTAGATAATAGAAACACATGTTTACAGTTCCACAATATTGCTCAAATCTATCAAGCACAAAGTTGAAGTCACAAAATAAAAAGGAAATCAAAAGGAAGCCATTTAGGTCAGTTAAATCACAGGCATTGTGTTTTTGTAGCAATGTTTCACATAGGCCAGACGGTCAGTACCTCGGAGGGCGAGAGAGAGAGCAGCGTGAAGCTGCCTGATGGCCTGGTTGAGCTGGAACAGCTTGGCTGCGGTGTTCCTCACTCTGTGTAGCTGTGAGGGATCAGGGTCCTCAGCTCCCTTCTTGGAGCCTTCTTCCCTCTCCTGTACACACATACACGCACAGATGTTACAGTTAATGTAATTGGAAAACACATTCTCTCACACACACACGTTACAGTTGATGTAATTGGAAAATGGTGCCTTTCCAAGGGGATGAACCCTTTTCCTCACATACTGTAGCTAACCCTATTAAAGCCCTTCCTCCATACACTAATGATGCAGAAATACTGTTGATTCCAATCAAATACTGTCTCACTACAATGGTGCAACGACAAAACCTGTGACAATTTCAACGGTCAGGTCCATAATTATTGGCACCCTTGATAAAGATGAGCAAAAAACCGGTTTAAAATAAATAGAAATACTGAGCTATATTGCAGGCGCAACATTTTTGAAAATAATATTATTTTATACTAATACAATTGCTCAGAGAGATTTTGTTTAACAAATAATAAAATAAAATAAATCTCTCAATTATTGGCAGCCCTGTTTTCAATACTCCAGCACCCTACCTTTGCGAGGATCCTTGATATCCTTCATCTGCGCTTATGGAATGCTGATAGATGAATTATTAATGACTAATTATTACACCCTGAAACAGTGTGTAATGTGTTAGAAATGTGTGAGTGTAGGACCAGTAAAGGCTATGGCATTGAGCCACTATTTAGCAATGTGAGTAAGAGTTAGGCCAGACAACAAAGGCAACTGATAACTGAGGAATTTAGGGAGTAGAGAAACTGTTATGAAAACATGGTGCAGAATATTGTGAGAACGGCAATAACTGAGTAATGCAGGGAGTAGGCTATGTGTGTGTGTGTGTGTGTGTGTGTGTATGTATGTGTGTATGCATGTGTGTATATGTGTGTGTGTGAACTGATGGTCAGTAGAGCAGTTTTAGAGTGGAAAACTACAGCCCGCCTACAGAGGGGAGGGATTTGTTTTTGTATGAGTATGAAAGATGGACTCTGAAATTGTGATGGCAGAATTCTCAATGAATAAATCTCTGACTATGCAGATCGAGACTCTGTCCGTTACTTAAATCCCAAAAGACTTACAACCTTTTGGGAGACGCACAGAGACACTGAAATAGTTTGTTAAATAATTCACGTAACAAATGCTCTCTTCAGTTCAAACCACAGGTTTCAATGGGGTTCAAGTCCGGATGTGTGCTTGGGGTTAACGTCTTGCTGGAAGACCCACTTGCGGCCAAGTGTCAGCCTCCTGGCAAAGGCAACCAGGTTTTTGGCTAAAATATCCTGGTAAAGTTCATGATGAAGTTTACCTAAACAAAGGCCACAAGACCAGCGGAAGCAAAATAACCCCTAACATCAAAGATCCACCAACATATTTTACCATAGGCATGAGGTACTTTTCTGCATATGCTTCTGTTTTTCTAAACCAAACCCACCACTGGCGTGCGAGGCCAAAGAGCTACATTTTCATGTCATCTGACCATAGCACCGTGGAGTTTGATAAACGGCATTGGCACTTGGATTGGAACCGGTACTATGGTTAGATTACATGAAAATAGAGGTCTTTGGCCACGCATACCATAGGTGGGTTTGGAGTTGAAAAATAAAGCATATGCATTAGAGTACCTCATGCCTACGGTAAAATATGGTGGTGGATCTTTGATGTTATGGGGTTATTTTGCATTCGCTGGTCCTGGGGCCCTTGTGAAATCCACTTTTTCGAGCTGAAAGACGATGGGCCAAAGCTTACCCATGATGTTGCACAACGATTTAAGTCAATAAGACATTGTTTTAGTCAAAGTATGATATATTTGGGCTTGAAGTGACAAATCAGTGTGAATACGGTGTCTTTTCCTATGACATCTTTTCAGCCTACGTTTTGTTTCAGTGCTAGATTTTTTATATATACATATATACATACAGAGTGCATTCGGAAAGTATTCAGACCTTGACTTTTTCCACATTTTGTTACGTTACAGCCTTATTCTAAAATATATTCAATTAATTTTCCTCAATCTACACACAATACCCCATAATTACGAAGCAAAAACAGATTTAGATTTTTTTGCACATATTTAAAAAATATATATATATACAGTGGGGAAAAAAAGTATTTAGTCAGCCACCAATTGTGCAAGTTCTCCCACTTAAAAAGATGAGAGAGGCCTGTAATTTTCATCATAGGTACACGTCAACTATGACAGACAAATTGAGAAAAAAAAATTTCTGGCTCTCACAGACCTGTAACTTCTTCTTTAAGAGGCTCCTCTGTCCTCCACTCGTTACCTGTATTAATGGCACCTGTTTGAACTTGTTATCAGTATAAAAGTCAACTGTCCACAACCTCAAACAGTCAAAAAACCAAGCCAAAAACCAAGCCATAAGGTCGAAGGAATTGTCCGTAGACTTCCGAGACAGGATTGTGTTGAGGCAAAGATCTGAGGAAGGGTACCAAAAAATGTCTGCAGCATTGAAGGTCACCAAGAACACAGTGGCCTCCGTCATTCTTAAATGGAAGAAGTTTGGAACCACCAAGACTCTTCCTAGAGCTGGCCGCCTGGAAAAACTGAGCAATCAGGGGAGAAGGGCCTTGGTCAGGGAGGTGACCAAGAACTCGATGGACAGAGCTCTAGAGATCCTCTGTGGAGATGGGAGAAAACATCCAGAAGGACAATCATCTCTGCAGCACTCCACCAATCAGGCCTTTATGGTAGAGTGGCCAGACGGAAGCCACTCCGCAGTAAAAATCACATGACAGCCCGCTTGGAGTTTGCCAAAAGGCACCTAAAGAATTCTCAGACCATGAGAAACAAGATTCTCTGGTCTGATAAAACCAAGATTGAACTGTTTGGCCAACCTGGCACCATCCCTACGGTGAAGCATGGTGGTGGCAGCATCTTGCTGTCGGGATGTTTTTCAGCGGCAGGGACTAGGAGACTAGTCCGGAACGAGGGAAAGATGAACAAAGCAAAGAACAGAGAGGTCCTTCATGAAAACCTGCTTCAGTGCGCTCAGGGCCTCAGACTGAGGTGAAGGTTTACCTTCCAACAGGACAATGACCCTAAGCACACAGCCAAGACGACGCAGGAGTGGCTTCGGAATAAGTCTCTGAATGTCGTTGAGTGGCCCAGCCAGAGCCCGGACTTGAACCCGATTTAACATCTCTGGAGAGACCTGAAAATAGCTGTGCAGCGACGCTCCCCATCCAACCTGACAGAGCTTGAGAGGATCTCCAGAGAAGAATGGGAGAAACTCACCAAATACAGGTCTGCCAAGCTTGTAGTGTCATACCCAAGAAGACACGAGGCTGTACTCGCTGCCAAAGGTGCTTCAACAAAATACTGAGGAAAGGGTCTGAATATTTATGTAAATGTGTTTTTTATTTATTTATAATAAATGTACACAAAAAAATTAATCTGTTTTTGCTTTGTCATTATGGGGTATTGTGTGTAGATTGATGAGGGAAAAAAACTATTTAATCAATTTTAGAATAAGGTAACGACAAAATATGGAAAAAGTCAAAGGGTCTGAATACATGACGAATGCACTGTGTGTGTGTGTGTATGTATGTACAGTTGAAGTCGGAAGTTTACATACACCTTAGTCAAATACATTTAAACTCAGTTTTTCACAATTCCTGATATTTAATCCTAAAAAAAATTCCCTGTCTCAGGTCAGTTAGGATCACCACTTTATTTTAAGAATGTTAAATGTCAGAATAATAGTAGAGAGAATGATTTTTTTCAGCTTTTAATTTCTTTCATAACATTCCCAGTGGTTCAGAAGTTTACATACACTCAATTAGTATTTGGCAGCATTACCTTTAAATTGTTTAACTTGGGTCAAACGTTTCAGGTAGCCTTCCACAAGCTTCCCACAATAAGTTGGGTGAATTTTGGCCCATTCCTCCTGACAGAGCTGATGTAACTGAGTCCGGTTTGTAAGCCTCCTTGCTCACACACACATTTTCAGTTCTGCCCACAAATGTTCTATAGGATTGAGGTCAGGGCATTGTGATGGCCACTCCAATACCTTGACTTTGTTGTCCTTAAGCTATTTTGCCACAACTTCGGAAGTATGCATGGGGTCATTGTCCAATTGGAAGACCCATTTGCGACCAAGCTTTATCTTCCTGACTGATGTCTTGAGACGTTGCTTCACATAATTTTCCTTCCTCATGATGCCATCTATTTTGTGAAGTGCACCAGTCCCTCCTGCAGCAAAGCACCCCCACAGCATGATGCTGCCACCCACGTGCGTCACGGTTAGGATGGTGTTCTTGGGCTTGCAAGCACCCCCTTCTTCCTCCAAACATAACGATGGTCATTATGGCCAAACAGTTCTATTTTTGTTTCATCAGACCAGAGTACATTTCTCCAAAAAGTACAATCTTTGTTCCCATGTGCAGTTGCAAACCGTAGTCTGGCTTTTTTATGTTGGTTATGGAGCAGTGGCTTCTTCCTTGCTGGACGGGCTTTTCAGGTTATGTCGACACAGTGAGGGAAAAAAGTATTTGATCCCCTGCTGATTTTGTACGTTTGCTCACTGACAAAGACATGATCAGTCTATAATTAATTTAATGGTAGGTTTATTTGAACATTGAGAGACAGAAGAACAACAAAAAAATCCAGAAAAACGCATGTCAAAAATGTTATGAATTTATTTGCATTTTAATGAGGGAAATAAGTATTTGACCCCTCTGCAAAACATGACTTAGTACTTGGTGGCAAAATCCTTGTTACAGAGGTCAAACGTTTCTTGTAGTTGGCCATCAGGTTTGCACACATCTCAGGAGGGACTTTGTTCCACTCCTCTTTGCAGATCTTCTCCAAGTCATTAAGGTTTCGAGGCTGACGTTTGGCAACTCGAACCTTCAGCTCCCTCCACAGATTTTCTATGGGATTAAGGTCTGGAGACTGGCTAGGCCACTCCAGGACCTTAATGTGCTCCTTCTTGAGCAACTCCTTTGTTGCCTTGGCCGTGTGTTTTGGGTCATTGTCATGATAGAATACCCATCCACAACCCATTTTCAATGCCCTGGCTGAGGGAAGGAGGTTCTCACCCAAGATTTGACGGTACATGGCCCCGTCCATCGTCCCTTTGATGCGGTGAAGTTGTCCTGTCCCCTTAGCAGAAAAACACCCCCAAAGCATAATGTTTCCACCTCCATGTTTGATGGTGGGGATGGTGTTCTTGGGGTCATAGGCAGCATTCCTCCTCCTCCAAACACGGCGAGTTGAGATTATGTAAAGAGCTCCATTTTGGTCTCATCTGACCACAACACTTTCACCCAGTTCTCCTCTGAATCATTCAGATGTTCATTGGCCAACTTCAGACGGCCCTGTATATGTGCTTTCTTGAGCAGGGGGACCTTGCGGGCGCTGCACGATTTCAGTCCTTCACGGCGTAGTGTGTTACCAAATGTTTTCTTGGTGACTATGGTCCCAGCTGCCTTGACATCATTGACAAGATCCTCCCGTGTAGTTCTGGGCTGATTCCTCACCGTTCTCATGATCATTGCAACTCCACGAGGTGAGATCTTGCATGGAGCCCCAGGCCGAGGGATATTGACAGTTATTTTGTGTTTCTTCCATTTGCGAATAATTACACCAACTGTTGTCACCTTCTCACCAAGCTGCTTGGCGATGGTCTTGTAGCCCATTCCAGCCTTGTGTAGGTCTACAATCTTGTCCCTGACATCCTTGGAGAGCTCTTTGGTCTTGGCCATGGTGGAGAGTTTGGAATCTGATTGATTGATTGCTTCTGTGGACAGGTGTCTTTTATACAGGTAACAAGCTGAGATTAGGAGCACTCCCTTTAAGAGTGTACTCCTAATCTCAGCTCGTTACCTGTATAAAAGACACCTGGGAGCCAGAAATCTTTCTGATTGAGAGGGGGTCAAATACTTATTTCCCTCATTAAAATGCAAATCAATTTATAACATTTTTGACATGCGTGTTTCTGGATTTTTTTGTTGTTATTCTGTCTCTCACTGTTCAAATAAACCTACCATTACAATTATAGACTGATCATTTCTTTGTCAGTGGGCAAACGTACAAAATCAGCAGGGGATCAAATACTTTTTTCCCTCACTGTATAAGACTCGTTTTACTGTGGATATAGATACTTTTGTACCTGCTTCCTCCAGCATCTTCACAACGACCTTTGCTGTTGTTCTGGGATTGATTTGCACTTTTTGCACCAAAGTACGTTCAACTCTAGGAGACAGAACGCGTCGCCTTCCTGAGCGGTATGACGGCTGTATGGTCCCTTGGTGTTTACACTTGCGTACTGTTGTTTGTACAGATTAACGTGGTACCTTCAGGCGTTTGGAAATTGCTCCCAAGGATGAACCAAATAAACAAAATTTTCTTCTGAGGTCTTGGCAGATTTCTTTTGATTTTCCTATGATGTCAGGCAAAGAAGCACGGAGTTTGAAGGTAGGCCTTGAAATACATCCACAGGTACACCTCTAATTGACTCAAATGATGTAATTAGCCTAGCAGAAGCTTATATAGCCATGACATAATTTTCTGGAATTTTCCAAGCTGTTTAAAGGCACAGTCAACTTAGTGTATGTAAACTTCTGACCCAATGGAAATGTGATACAGTGAAATAATCTGTCTGCAAACAATTGTTTTAAAAATTACTTGTGTCATGCACAAAGTAGATGTCCTAACCGACTTGCCAAAACTATAGTTTGTTAACAAGAAATTTGTGGAGTGGTTGATAAACAAGTTTTAATGACTCCAACCTAAGTGTATGTAAACTACCGACATCAACTGTACATGCATGCATGCATACATACATGCATACATACAGTTGAAGTCAGAAGTTTACACACATAGGTTGGAGTCAATAAAACTCATTTTTTCAACCACTCCACAAATTTCTTGTTAACAAACTATAGTTTTCACAAGTCGGTTAGGACATGTACATTGTGCATGACACAAGTCATTTTTCCAACAATTGTTTACAGACAGATTATTTCACTTATAATTCACTGTATCACAATTCCAGTGGGTCAGAAGTTTACATACACTAATTTGACTGTGCCTTTAAACAGCTTGTAAAATTCCAGAAAATTATGTCATGGCTTTAGAAGCTTCTTATAGGCTAATATACATCATATGAGTTAATTGGAGGTGTACCTGTGGATGTATTTCAAGGCCTACCTTCAAACTTAGTACCTCTTTGCTTGACATCATGGGAAAATCAAAAGAAATCAGCCAAGACCACAGAAAAAAAGACCTCCACAAGTCTGGTTCATCCTTGGGAGCAATTTCTAAACACCTGAAGGTACCACGTTCATCTGTACAAACAATAGTATGCAAGTATAAAAACCACGCGACCACGCAGCCATCATGCCGCTCAGGAAGGAGAAGCGTTCTGTCTCCTAGTGATGAACGTACTTTGGTGCGAAAAGTGCAAATCAATCCCAGAACAACAGCAAAGGACCTTGTGAAGATGGAGAGAACAGGTACAAAAGTATCTACACTGCTCAAAAAAATAAAGGGAACACTAAAATAACACATCCTAGATCTGAATGAATGAAATAATCTTATTAAATACTTTTTTCTTTACATAGTTGAATGTGCTGACAACAAAATCACACAAAAATTATCAATGGAAATCAAATTTATCAACCCATGGAGGTCTGGATTTGGAGTCACCCTCAAAATTAAAGTGGAAAACCACACTACAGGCTGATCCAACTTTGATGTAATGTCCTTAAAACAAGTCAAAATGAGGCTCAGTAGTGTGTGTGGCCTCCACGTGCCTGTATGACCTCCCTACAACGCCTGGGCATGCTCCTGATGAGGTGGCGGATGGTCTCCTGAGGGATCTCCTCCCAGACCTGGACTAAAGCATCCGCCAACTCCTGGACAGTCTGTGGTGCAACATGGCGTTGGTGGATGGAGCAAGACATGATGTCCCAGATGTGCTCAATTGGATTCAGGTCTGGGGAACGGGCGGGCCAGTCCATTGCATCAATGCCTTCCTCTTGCAGGAACTGCTGACACACTCCAGCCACATGAGGTCTAGCATTGTCTTGCATTAGGAGGAACCCAGGGCCAACCGCACCAGCATATGGTCTCAAAAGGGGTCTGAGGATCTCATCTCGGTACCTAATGGCAGTCAGGCTACCTCTGGCGAGCACATGGAGAGCTGTGCGGCCCCCCAAAGAAATGCCACCCCACACCATGACTGACCCACCGCCAAACCGGTCATGCTGGAGGATGTTGCAGGCAGCAGAACGTTCTCCACGGCGTCTCCAGACTCTGTCACGTCTGTCACATGTGCTCAGTGTGAACCTGCTTTCATCTGTGAAGAGCACAGGGCGCCAGTGGCAATTTGCCAATCTTGGTGTTATCTGGCAAATGCCAAACGTCCTGCACGGCGTTGGGCTGTAAGCACAACCCCCACCTGTGGACGTCGGGCCCTCATACCACCCTCATGGAGTCTGTTTCTGACCGTTTGAGCAGACAAATGCACATTTGTGGCCTGCTGGAGGTCATTTTGCAGGGCTCTAGCAGTGCTCCTCCATCTCCTCCTTGCACAAAGGCGGAGGTAGCAGTCCTGCTGCTGGGTTGTTGCACTCCTACGGCCTCCTCCACGTCTCCTGGTAGCGCCTCCATGCTCTGGACACTACGCTGACAGACACAGCAAACCTTCTTGCCACAGCTCGCATTGATGTGCCATCCTGGATGAGCTGCACTACCTGAGCCACTTGTGTGGGTTGTAGACTCCGTCTCATGCTACCACTAGAGTGAAAGCACTGCCAGCATTCAAAAGTGACCAAAACATCAGCCAGGAAGCATAGGAACTGAGAAGTGGTCTGTGGTCACCACCTGCAGAACCACTTCTTTATTGGGGGTGTCTTGCTAATTGCCTATAATTTGCACCTGTTGTCTATTCCATTTGCACAACAGCATGTGAAATGTATTGTCAATCAGTGTTGCTTCCTAAGTGGACAGTTTGATTTCACAGAAGTGTGATTGACTAGGAGTTACATTGTGTTGTTTAAGTGTTCCCTTTATTTTTTTGAGCAGTGTATATCCACAGTGAAACGAGTCCTATATTGACATAACCTGAAAGGCCACTCGGCAAGGATGAAGCCACTGCTCCAAAACCGCCATTAAAAAGCCAGACTACGGTTTGCAACTGCACATGGGGACAAAGATCGTACTTTTTGGAGAAATGTCCTCTGGTCTGATGAAACAAAAATAGAACTGTTTGGCCATAATGACCATCGTTATGTTTGGAGGAAAAAGGGGAAGGCTTGCAAGCCGAAGAACACCATCCCAACCGTGAAGCACGGGGGTGGCAGCATCATGCTGTGGGGGTGCTTTGCTGCAGGAGGGACTGGTGCACTTCACAAAATAGATGACATCATGAGGAAGGAAATGTATGTGGATATATTGAAGCAACATCTCAAGACATCAGTCAGGAAGTTAAAGCTTGGTCGCAAATGAGTCTTCCAAATGGACAATGACCCCAAGCATACTTCCAAAGTTGTGGCAAAATGGCTTAAGGACAACAAAGTCAAGGATTTTTAGTGGCCATCACAAAGCCCTGACCTCAATCCTATAGAAAATGTGTGGGCAGAATTGAAAAAGCATGTGCGAGCAAGGAGGCCTACAAACCTGACTCAGTTACACCAGCTCTGTCAGGAGGAATGGGCCAAAATTCACCCAACTTATTGTGGGAAGCTTGTGGAAGGCTACCTGAAACGTTTGACCCAAGTTAAACAATTTAAAGGCAATGCTACCAAATACTAATTGAGTGTATGTAAACTTCTGACCCACTGGGAATGTGATGAAAGAAATAAAAGCTGAAATAAATAATTCTCTCTACTATTATTCTGACATGCCACATTCTTAAAATAAAGTGGTGATCCTAACTGACCTAAGACAGGGAATTTTTACTAGGATTAAATGTCAGGAATTGTGAAAACTGAGTTTAAATGTATTTGGCTAAGGTGTATGTAATCTTCCGACTTCAACTGTACATACATACATGCATACATACATACATACATATATACAGTTCCAGTCAAAAGTTTGGACACACTTACTCAAGGGTTTTTCTTTATTTTTACTATCTTCTACATTTGTAGAATAATAGAAGACATCACAACTATGAAACACATACAGAATCATGTAGTAACCAAAAAAGTGTTAAACAAATCAAAATGTATTTTATATTTGAGATTCTTCAAATAGCCACCCTTTGCCTTGATGACAGCTTTGCACACTATTGGCATTCTCTCAACCAGCTTCACCTGGAATGCCTTTTCAACAGACTTGAAGGAGTTCCCACATATGCAGAACACTTGTTGGCTGCTTTTCCTTCACTCTGCGGTCCGACTCATCCCAAACCATCTCAATTGGGTTGAGGTTGAGGAATTGTGGAGGCCAGGTCATCTGATGCAGCAATCCATCACTACCCTTCTTGGTAAAATAGTCCTTACACAGCCTGGAGGTGTGTTGGGTCATTGTCCTGTTGAAAAACAAACGATAGTCCCAATAAGCCCAAAGCAGTTGGGATGGCGTATCGCTGTAGAATGCAGTTGTAGCCATGCTGGTTAAGTGTGCCATGAATTCTAAATAAATCACAGACAGTGTCACCAGCAAAGCACCCCCAAACCATACCACCTCCTCCTCCATGCTATACGGTGGGCACTACACATGCGGAGATCATCCGTTCACCCACACCACGTCTCACAAAGACACTGGGGTTGGAACCAAAAATCTCAAATTTGGACTCCAGACCAAAGGACACATTTCCACCGGTCTAACGTCCATTGCTCGTGTTTCTTGGCCCAAGCAGGTCTCTTCTTCTTATTGGTGTCCTTTAGTAGTGGTTTCTTTGCAGCAATTCGACCATGAAGGCCTGATTCACACGGCCCCCTCTGAACAGTTGATGTTGAAATGTGTCTGTGACTTGAACTCTGTGAAGGATTTATTTGGGCTGCAATTTCTGAGGCTGGTAACTCTAATGAACTTATCCTCTGCAGCAGAGGTAACTCAGGGTCTTCTATTCCTGTGGCGGTCCTCATGAGAGCCAGTTTCATCATAGCGCCTGATGGTTTTTGCGACTGCACTTGAAATTTCCGTATTGCCTGTCCTTCATGTCTTAACGTAATGATGGACTGTCGTTTCTCTTTGCTTATTTGAGCTGTTCTTGCCATAATATAGACTTCGTCTTTTACCAAATAGGGCTATGGTCTGTATACCCCCCTACCATGTTGTACAGAGCTTTGTTTTTCCTATATTGTTGCATTAAAACCTATAATTTAAATTGATTTTTATTTGGATTTCATATAACGGACATACACAAAATAGTCAAAATTGGTCCAAAAAAATACATTAAAAAAAATAACGGAAAAGTGGTGCGTGCATATGTATTCACCCCCTTTGCTATGAAGCTCCTAAATAAGATTTGGTGCAACTAATTACCTTCAGAAGTCACATAATTAGTTAAATAAAGTCCACGTGTGCAATCTAAGTGTCACATGATCTGTCACACAATCTCAGTATATATACACCTGTTCTGAAAGGCCCCAGAGTCTGCAACACCAGTAAGCAAGGGGCACAACCAAGCAAGCGGCACCATGAAGACCAAGGAGCTCTCCAAACATGTCAGGGACAAAGTTTTGGGGAAGTACAGATCAGGGTTGGGTTATAAAAAGATATCTGAAACATTGAACATCCCACGGAGCACCATTAAATCCATTATTTTAAAAAATGGAAAGAATATGGCATCACAACAAACCTGCCAAGAGAGGGCCGCCCACCAAAACTCATGGACCGGGCAAGGAGGGCATTCATCAGAGAGGCAACAAAGAGACCAAAGATAACCCTGAAGGAGCTGCAAAGCTCCACAGCGGAGATTGGAGTATCTGTCCATAGGACCACTTTAAGCCGTACACTCCACAGAGCTGGGCTTTACGGAAGAGTGGCCAGAAAAAAGCCATTGCTTAAAGAAAAAAATAAGCAAACACAATTGGTGTTCGCCAAAAGGCATGTGGGAGACTCCCCAAACATATGGAAGAATGTACTCTGGTCAGATGAGACTAAAATTGAGCTTTTTGGCCATCAAGGAAAATGCTATGTCTGGCGTTTTTGTCTTATTTCTTGTTTGTTTCACAATAAAACATATTTTGCATCTTAAAAGTGGTAGGCATGTTGTGTAAATCAAATGACACAAACCTCCCAAAAAATCAATTTTAATTCCAGGTTGTAAGGCAACAAAAAAGGAAAAATGCCAAGGGGGTGAATACTTTCACAAGCCACTGTAACACAACTGATTGGCTCAAACGCATTAAGGAAAGAAATTCCACAAGTTTTAATAAGGCACACCTGTTAATTGAAATGCATTCCAGGTGACTACCTCATGAAGCTGATTGAGAGAATGCCAAGAGTGTGAAAACCTGTCATCAAGGCAAAGGGTGCCTATTAGAAGAATCTCAAATATAAAATATATTTTGATTTGTTTAACACTTTTTTAACAACTACATTGCCAAAAGTATGTGGACACCTGCTCGTCGAACATCTCAATCATGGGCATTAATATCGAGTTGGTCCCCCCTTTACTGCTATAACAGCCTCCACTCTTCTGGGAAGGCTTTCCACTAGATGTTGGAACATTGCTGCATGGACTTGCTTCTATTCAGCCACAAGAGCATTAGTGAGGTCGGGTGAACAGCGTTCCAATTCATCCCAAAGGTGTTGGATGGGGTTAAGGTCAGGGTTCTATGCAGGCCAGTCAAGTTCTTCCACACCAATCTCGACAAACCATTTCTGTATGGACCTCGCTTTGTGCAAGGGGGCATTGTCATGCTGAAACAGGAAAGGGCCTTTCCCAAACTGTTACCACGAAGTTGGAAGGACCGAATCATCTAGAATGTCATTGTATGCTGTAGCGTTAAGATTTCCCTTCACTGGAACTCTGGGGCCTAGCCCGAAGCATGAAAAACAGCCCATACCACTATTCCTCCTCCACCAACCTTTACAGTTGGCACTATGCATTGGGGCAGGTAGCGTTCTCCTGGCGTCCGCCAAACCCAGAGTCGTCCATCGGCCTGCCAGATGGTGAAGCTTGATTCATCACTCCAGAGAACGTGTTTCCACTGCTACACAGTCCAATGGCGGCAAGCTTTACAGCACTCCAGCCGACGCTTGGCATTGCGCATGGGGATCTTAGGCTTGTGTGCGGCTGCTCGGCCATGGAAACCCATTGCGTGAAGCTGCCGACGAACAGTTCTTGTGCGGACAATGCTTCCAGAGGCAGTTTGGAACTCGGTAGTGAGTGTTGCAACCGAGGACAGACGATTTGTACGCGCTACGCGCTTCAGCACTCGTCTGTCCCGTTCTGTGAGCTTGTGTGGCCAACCACTTCGCGGCTGAGCCGTTGTTGCGCTTAGACGTTTCCACTTCACAATAACAGCACTTACTATTGAACGGGGCAGCTCTAGCGGGGCAGAAATTTGTCGAACTGACTTGTTGCAAAGGTGGCATCCTATGACGGTGCCACGTTGAAAGTCACTGAGCTCTTCAGTAAGGCCATTCTAGAAAGTACTTAAACTGGATTAAACTATGGGAACCCCACACATAACATTTGCTTATGCAAGACCTACTAGCATAGTAGGGCTCAAAATTAAAACCTGCATTTTGGGAGAGTTTCAGCAAGCTTAGAGAACTGCGTTCTTTGGTGAAAGAAGGCGAGATTACTATATATGAGCACATGTTAAAAAGTGGTATAAGGCAACATTATTTAAGTGACAGAGTGTGTTAAACATGAGGAGCCATGTTGAGAAGGCATCATTTACACTATAGATTATAGCCCATGCTGACTGTCTAGCTACTATACTAGGGGCCATCACCACTCATAGAAAGTGTCTTCAAAGTGAAACAACGTAAAACAGAAAAAGGTATTTTAATGAGGTGTTCATTTTGTGTCATTTCCCAATGCCAACAAATGATACTGTTGGTAAAGAATGTCATCCTAGTGCCAGCATGACCTAGTGACACACACAGACATGCACACAGACACACTAGTGCTTTTTGACATAGTTTCGGTTCTAATATATAAAAAATTTCCGATTGAAAAAATAAAATAAAAATAATGCACTATGCGGGTTGAATGCTGTAACACAGAATAAAACAATAAAAGTCCCATGATGGTAGTGACTGCCCATGACTGCTTATCACTTATTAACCATCAGTTATTCACATTACTTTAATGAAATATTTCAGTTGTTGTGAATATTACATTTGTTTTATTTTATGACTATTTCATTCAAAGTCATCCTCTCTACAGAGCTGCTGCCTATGCTGTCTGACAAAATCACTCTTTTAGTAGTTCAAAGTAAATAAAAGCATACTTTTTTTTATGACACCTGAATACCAACTATCAATCACTTAGAACATGTAGACACACCTCGAAGAAACTGCTCTCTATGTATCCCCTCTTGATCGCGCATTCTTCTGCCTCTTTCGTAGCAGGACATGTAGCCGCACAATGGATTATGGTCATTGTAGTCAATTATCACGTTTTCTGCGCTAAACTATGTAGAACATGTTGGAAACTATAACTCCCTACTACATCGCACAGTTCAGGCATGATCCGATTTATCTCTAGAGAAACTGCAGCACAATGTGCGCATTGAGTTCACAGAAAAAAACTGAATGAAATGGATTTCAAGATGTCTGTCAATTAGTTGTTAAGAAAACGGAAAATAACCAACATTTCAGTTAATCGCTCAGCACAGATAGAGAGACTGAAGACTATATAGTCTAGTTTAGGAAGGGAATGTCTATGGAATGGCTTATGGAAACAAGGTGTTCCTCAAGTACTGCAAGATGTACTGGCAGAAGTGGTTTAACTTAACAAAAGATGCCCATGTAGGTGTCTGTGGCGATGCCTGCCCACTTGCCCTTCAGCACAGGACTCATGACCCCCAGCATAGCCTGTAAATTTCCCCCTCCCCTTTTGTTGTTGTCCTCCAATCACAAGTCATCAAACTGTGATAGAGCTAGAGTTATTAGGCAATATCTACAGTGCCTTCAGAAATTATTCACACCCCTTGACTTTTTCCACATTTATTGTGTTACAAAGTGGTATTAAAATGGATTTAATTGTCATTTTTTGTCAATAAACTACACAAAATAATCTGAAATTGGAAGAAAAATTCTTACATTTGTAAAGAATAAAAAATAAGTCATATATCAACCCCTGAGTCAATACCTTATAGAAGCACCTTTGGCAGTGATTATAGCTGTGAGTCTTTCTGGGTAAGTCTCTAAGAGCTTTCCACACCTGGATTGTGCAATATTTGCCCATTACTCTTTTCAAAACGCTTCAAGCTCTGTCAAATTGGTTGTTGATCATTGCTAGACAACCATTTTCAGGTCTTGCCATACATTTTCAAGTAGATTTAAGTCAAAAATGTAACTCGGCCACTCAGGAACACTCACTGTCTTCTGAGTAAGCAACTCCAGTGTAGATTTGACCTTGTATTTTCAATTAATGTCCTGCTGAAGGGTTTTTGCCTGTGCTTAGCTCCATTCCGTTTATTTTTTATCCTGAAAAACTCCCCCAGCCCATAACGATTACAAGCATATCCATAACATCCATCCCTTAAAAATATGGAGTGGTACTCAGTAATGTGTTTTATTGGATTTGCCCCAAACATAACACTTTGTATTCAGGACTAAAAGTGAATTGCGTTGCCACATTTTTTGCAGTGTTACTTTAGTTCCTTGTTGCAAGTCTTGGAATATTATATTCTGTACAGGCTTCCTTTTCACTCTGTCAATTAGGTTAGCATTGTGGAGTAACTACAATGTTGTTGATCCAACCTCAGTTTTCTCCTATCACAGCCATTAAACTCTAACTGTTTTAAAGTCACCATTGGCCTCATGGTGAAGTCCTTGAGCGGTTTCCTTCCTCTCCGGCATCTGTTAGGAAGGATGCCTGTATATTTGTAGTGACTGGGTGTATTGATACACCATCCAAAGTGTAATTAATAACTTCACCATGCTCAAAGGGATATTCAATGTCTGCTTTTTTTTTACCCATCTACCAATAGGTGCCCTTCTTTGCAAGGCATTGGAAAACCTCCCTGGTCTTTGTCATTGAATCTGTGTTTGAAATTCACTTCTTGACTGAGAGACCTTACAGATAATTGTATGTGTGGCGTACAGAGATGAGGTAGTCATTAAAAAATAATGTTAAACACTATTATTGCACACAGAGTGAGTCCATGCAACTTAGTATGTGACTTGTTAAGCACATTTTTTACTTACTCCTGAAATTATTTAGGCTTGCCATAACAAAGCGGTTGAATACTTATTGACTCAAGACATTTCAGCTTTGCATTTTTAATTAAATGAGTAAACATTTCAAATAACAATTCCACTTTGACATTAGGCCAGTGACAAAAAAAATCTACATTTAATCAATTTTAAATTCAGGTTGTAACACAACAAAATGTGGAAAAAGGTCAAGGGGTGTGAATACTTTCTGAGGGCACTGTATGCTAATCAATGGGAGATGGAAAATAAAATGACAGAACTAAAAGTTAAATGAGAAGGACAGGCTACAACACCAGGTAGGCTGCTACTTAATAATATGAATGGAGTTGTTGTTACTGTAGGATTCAGAAGGGGAGAAAGTGTACAGTTGAAGTTATGTAGTCTAAATTAGCCTAGCTAACGTTAGCTAGCTGGCCATCTTAACTAGCTTCTCTCGGTTTGATGCAGTCAAGTCAGGTACTATGTAGTCAGATGAGATGATAAATAACTAGCAATAAATTTGTCTACCAGCGCGAGTCGATTTAGTTGCCATCCCCGCTCCCATCGTCACTCACATTTGAGCTGCTGCTCTGCTAATAAAGTAGCTCCTCCTACTAACGTTACAGCATTGTTGTGTTAGGTAGTTGTTTAAAAAAAAGTTTTTCAGTTAGGGATTTTTTCTTAATGTTCTAACGTTTAAACGTTCACACCCCTACTCTCAAGGCTGGAGACTTTGAGAGCTGGTGTCAGCCAGACAAGGTTGCCTCTGCCAGGGGGCTGAAACTTGGCCGCAAGATGATCTTCCAGCAAGACAATAACCCTAAGCACTAATCAAAATCCACAGAAATTGTTAATTGACCACAAAAATCTAAAATGTTCAGTCTCCGGACTTAAACTCCATTGAAAACCTGCAGTTTGAATTTAAGAAGGAAGTCCATAAAAGCAGGCAAAGGATATCAAGGATCTGGAAAGATTATGTATGGAGGACTGGTCTAAGATCCCTCCCAACATGTTCTCCAATCTCATAAAACATTTAAGAAAACGTCTCAGTGTCGTTATCCTCGCAAGGGGAAGGTGCTAGAGTATTGAAAACGGGTGCCAATCATTTTGACCCTTATCTTTTTTAGATTGTTTTATTAGTTGTTAAACAAAATCTCTTTCTTTGCACAATTGTATTAGTATAAAATCATTTTTTTGGAGCATACACAGTATTTGTATAAATAAATGTGTATCAAGGGTGCCAATAATTATGGACCTGACTATCTGCATTTCACAGTCATGAAAATACAGTAGCAACAAATTAAACCATGGCTCTCCCAGAGGCCCACAGAGATTCAACATGTGTCTGGTTGTCCGTCCAACCCCTTTTGTTTGACGACAATGGGGGTGGAGGTCCGGGGGAAAGATGTCCCCTCCTTTGTCCCAATCGCCTAGCGCAGCCGATGATTGACGCTAACAAAGGTGCTTGTTTGTGCGCGGCAGATAATGGCAAACAAGCGCGTTAACGTGACTAATGGCACTTCATTCAACACATCCATTACCTGAACGATGGTCCCAACATGAGACTGTGGCGATAAGGCCAACAGGGGTGGCAAGGTCTTTACAAGAGCCATAAAAGCTGATTCGCACCTTTTAACAGGCTGGCTGTGGGAGGGGCTATTAATCTGGAGAGTTTAACCCTGTGTCAAGAAAGATAGATGGGCTGTTTGGGTTTGTTATGGTTCGCTCAGTGCTCACCGTCATGTGGCAGTGGATGTAGCTCTGGAGAGCACAGGACAGGTCCAGCATCTTCGACTTGAGGCTCTGCAAAACCTGCCAGAAACATAGACCATATGGTATCTTGTTTGGAGACTAATGCTTGATAAGAGACAAAATAGAGGCATTCTAAAGAAACAATCCAGAATATCATTGCAATATTGTTAATCCTATGCAAATCATCGATGCCATTCATGGCTTTAAATGTTGTTATTTTTTACCTTACTTTTTAATATAACATTTCTCTGATGACAGAACCTCAAGGATCCCTCTCAAGGTATATCAAAACAATTCATATAGAGAAGTCACAGACCGTGAATACAGAGGAAGACTAAATGGTGGCTATGTACCGGAGTCCTGGGATTGGCCAGCTGCGCATCTCTCAGCATCTCGTTGGAGATAGTCAGACCCTCTTCCAGGAGAGAGTGCACCCCTTTACAGGTCCCCTCCAACAGAGACAGGGCCACAGACCGCTGGGGAAAGAGAGACGACAACCACAACTTTTGAGAGACCGCTTTCTTGGTGGGTGGGGGTGGGGGGGGTGGAGATGAAGCATCCAGGCAGGATGCATCATGGCTTCGTTATCCACCATGCCCAGTATCTTATCCATTCTCAATCAATATGAAAGGCAGTACATGGTGAGAGTTTGAGTGAGTGAGTGAGAAACAGACAGACAGGTGTGGTAACATTTACCTTGCCTGTGGCCTCAGAGCCCAGCTCGGTCACGTGGAGCTGGGTGGCGGTAAGCGCAGCCAGGTGGCTGATGACCAGCAGTGCCGTGTCCAGACACTGACCACTCTTCCTGTGGGCCTCGGTCACCATGGACGAAATCTCAGAGTCACAGCCCTGGGGACCACACGGGAATTGGATGTTAAATAAATAATTGGTTAATTAAATTGTATTTTATTTGAATAAAATAAACAAAAAAACACCAACACTCGCAACTACTTTATTAATGAAAAATGTACTTAATATGATTGAAATGTAGTTGTCTCACCTAGCCAAATTGAAATGAATGCACTAACTGCAAGTCGCTCTGGATAAGAGAGTTTGCTAAATTACTAAAATGTCAAATTATATTGTATTTGAATGAATACATAAATGAACTAGGGAAAAATGCAAATGTTAAAAAATAAAATAATAATAATAATTAAGAAATACGGTAGTGTGAAAGGAGGGTGAGAAGGGTGGGGAATGTTTAAAAATGTTTATTGCTGGCACTGGTTAGGTATGTTAGATTGTGCCGTACATGCAGTGCCTTCAGAAAGTATTCATACCCCTCGACTTTTTCCACATTGTTGTGATACAGCCTGAATTTAAAATGTATTAAAGAGAGTTTTTGGTCACTGGCCGATGACACACAATACCCCACAATGTCAAAGTGGAACGTCTTGAGTCAATAAGTATTCAACCCCTGTTATGGCAAGCCTAAATAAGTTCAGGAGTACAAATGTGCTTAACAAGTCACATAACAACATTGATGTTACTCCACAATACTAACCTAATTGACAGAGGGAAAAGAAGGAAGCCTGTACAGAATACAAATATTCCAAAACATGCATCTTGTTTGCACAAGGCAAATACTACACATTTTCCATATTTTCAAGTATAGTGGTGGCTGCCAGTAATCGTTAAGGACTGGGGAGTTTATCAAACCTGGTCCAGTCTGCTTTCCACTAGACATTGGGGGGATGAATTCACCTTTCAGCAGGACAATAACTTAAAACACAAGGCCAAATTTACACTGGAGTTGCTTACCACCAAGAAGACAGTGAATTTTCCGGAGTGGCCAAGATACAGTTTTGACTTAAATCTACTTGAAAATCTATGGCAAGACCTGAAAATGGTTGTTTAGCAATGATCAACAACCAAATTGATAGAGCTTAAAGCATTTTGAAAATAATAATGGGTAAAAATGTCACAATCCAGGTGTGGAAAGCTCTTAAGAGACTTACCCAGAAAGACTCACAGCTGTAATTCCTGCAAAGGTGCTTCTACAAAGTATTGACTCAGGGGTGTGAATACTTATGTAAATGAGATACTGTATTTCATTTTCAATACATTAGCAAAATCTTCAAAAAACATGTTTTCACTTTGTCATTATGGGGTAGATAGGGGAGAAAGAAAACAAATATTAAATAAATTTTGAATTCAGGCTCTAACAACAACAAAGTCAAGGAGTATATTGTGGGTTCGATAAAATAATGTATGTGCTAACTGTAAGTCGCTCTGGATAAGAGCGTCTGCTAAATGACTAAAATGTAAATGTAAATGAGTATGAATACTTTTTGAAGGCACTGTATACAGTCACTAGTGACTAGTGTGGGCTGGGTGGTAGCCAAGCGGTTAAGAGATTGGGCCAGTAACCGAAAGGTTGCTAGTTCAAATCCCCTAGCTGACTAGGTGAAATCTGTTGATGTGCCCTAAAGCAAGGCACTTAACCCTAATTGCTCCTGTAAGTTGCTCTGGATAAGAGTGTCTGCTAAATTACTAAAATGTAAAAAATGTAGTGAAGGTCTACACACCCCTTGCATAGTCTTCACATTTTGCTGCCTTAAAATGTAATCTCAAAAGGGAATACATATTATTGTTTTCCTACCGATCTACACAAGCTACTCCACATTTTCAAAGGTGGAGATGATTTGGAGTGGATTTAACACAGGTTTCATTTTTTAAACTGTCATAGAGGCCAATAATGTGGAGTGAATGCAATGTTGTTGATCCTCTGTCTTGTCAAGTATTGTGGTGGCAGCATAAAGTTATGAGTATGCTCGTCACGGGCAGAGACTGGGGAGTTTGTCAGGATCTAAATAAATATGAAAGGAGCAAAGCCCAGATAAAAAGTAAGAGGAAACCCTGCCTCAGCCTTCTGAATACCTAACCCTGGGATAGTTTTATTTTTCAGCGGGACAATTACACACATTTCTATGTAGAAAACACACCAGAATGGCTTTCCAAGATGTGTTGAGTGTTCCTGAAAGGTCCAGTCTCAGTCCTGACTTAAACCTGCTTGAAAATCAGAGACACGGTTTGAATATTACTGTCCATCATTGACTCCCAACCAAATTTACTGAGCTTGAGAGATTTTGACAAAAACTATGGATATTATATGCTGCCCTAAGAGTTGTGCAAAGTTGGTAGAATCATATTCAAAATGTTTCACAGATGTAATGGCTGCCAAAGGTGCTTCCACCAAGTATTAACTCTGGGGTGTGAAGACATGCGCAATCAAAACATCTTTGTTTAGTTTTTTTTATTCATTTGGAAAACTTTCTACAATTTTTCTTTCACATGTGGAGTAGGTTGTGTACGTCAGTAGGATTCTTTAAACCATAATTTTAAGGCAGCAAAATGTGAAGACTGCGCAAGGGGTGTGTAGAATTTATATATATATATATATTCATATTCATATTCATGTTGGACTTGAGGCTCAAGGTTGAGAATTCCCCTACGCTCTGCCATTTCCATACGAGCACTCAAAACAGCTCAAAGCTAAAACCTGTCAATCACTGAGGTGAATTTTGATGAGCCAGTGAGGTGTCAACCCGACTCGATTGAAAAGGATTTTCCTTTTGCAGCGTTTTAGTTTTTTCAGTTTAACTGGGATAAAAACGGATATTTCTAGAATATCTTTACTGTAATTCACTATGACATTACTTGCACTTAACTAGTCAACAATGCATATGTAGTACTGTACATATAGTGCCTTTGGAAAGTATTCAGACCCCTTTCCCTTATCAATCTACACACAATAACCCATAGTGACAAAGCGAAAACATGTTTTTAGAAATTTTAGCAAATGTATTAAATACAAAGAAACAGAAATACCTTATTTACCTAAGTATTCAGACACTTTGCTATGGGGTAAAACAACTTAATCCATTTTAGAATAAGTCTGTTACGTAACATAATGTGGAAAATGTCAAGGGGTCTGAGTACTTTCCGAATGCACAGTAGGTGCGCATGAATGTTGTTGGTGCATAGCTCTATCTGTATGTTGTACATTCACATACAGCTGCTACTGTTTTGAATATACTGTGTTCAATAGTTTCAATGCTCTGATGTGTCCTTTGTGTACCTTTTGGAATGTAATACCTTATCCAACATATTTATCCAGGTCAGTTTCATAAAGATAACATCTCTTTTTCAAGACAGTCCGATACATTGATCATTCTGTCTGGTGTATTTACATTTTAAAAAGTGCTGACAAAGATGTCTACCTGGATGAGAAGCTGAAAGTAACCACCCATTCTCTTTACTTGGGTCTTGAGCTCCTCTGCGTTGGTGTAGAGGGGACCGGCTCTGGGCTTGACGCTGGCCACCCACTGCATGGTGATGAACACGGCTCTCTCGATGGCCGAGGTGGCCTTCACCAGCTGTGTCGGAGCCTCAGCTTCAAACACAAACACTGGGACATAGAGACAGAATAAAGAACAACAGGTCGATTTAGTATTTTGAAAATGTTATGTGGTGCACACCTTAACAAAACTGTTTGCAACGAAAACAAGAGTTTCTTATTGGACAAATTCAGATGCGTTCTTCCGGTTTGGTTCCTACTGAATACGCGCTGGAAATATGTTTAAAGTTAATTCATTAATTATTTTCAAGTTTTCAGGATATCAGTATCACAATACTACCAAGATACTCTGCGATATTCCATGGCAAAAAAGAAAAACACAGAGACTAAACTATATAGTCCTTTACTATGAACATGCAGGAATGTATATCTGCTGTTTAGAATGTTCTCATCAACAGCACAGTATCATGTCACTCGTCCTCCTTTACTATCAATTAGCCATGTGCGGAATGTCAGTCACCTATTACCCTATGGCCAATCAGCACAGCTGAATAATGCAACTTTATCACACTTGCTAAATAACCTATAGGCATAGTTTCTATGCTGCAATAGTCTATGTGCTGGGGGACTAGGGTCAGTCTGTTATATCTGGTGTAATTCTCCCGTCTTATCTGGTGTCCTCTGTGACTTTAAATATGTGTGCCCTCTCCCTCTCCCCCACTGGGAGGACCTGAGCCCTAGGACCATGCATCAGGACCACTGTTCTGCCTGACACTATGGAACCCTGATCTGTTCACTGGACGTGCTACATTGTCCCGGACCAGCTGTTTTTTCGACTCTCCATCTCTATCACTACCTCACCTGCTGTCTCGACCTCTGAATGATTGACTATGAAAAGCCAACTGACATTTACTCCCTCTACAACCACTGATTATTATTTGACCATGCTGGTCATCTATGAACGTTTGATCATCTTGAAGAACGATCTGGCCTTAATGGCCATGTACTTTTATAATCTCCACCCGGCACAGCCAGAAGAGGACTGGTCACCCCTCGGAGCCTGGTTCCTCTCTAGGTTTCTTCCTAGGTTCCTGCCTTTCTAGGGAGTTTTTCCCTAGTCAACATGCTTCTACATCTGCATTGCTTGCCGTTTGGGGTTTTAGGCTGGGTTTCCGTATAAGCACTTTGTGACATCTGCTGATGTAAAAAGGGATTTTAAATACATTTTATATGACATTTGATTTGCATACCAGTGCAATCATCAACATGCTCTCTTCTCTAGTGGCCAGGGACTTTAATGCAGGGAAACTTAAATCCGTCCTACCTAATTTCTACCAGCATGTTAAATGTGCAACCAGAGGAAAAAAAAAAAAAACTCTAGACAACCTTTACTCCACATACAGAGACGTATACAAAGCTCTCCCTCGCCCTCCATTTGGCAAATCTGACCATAACTCTATCCTCCTGATTCCTGCTTATAAGCAAAAACTAAAGCAGGAAGCACCAGTGACTCGGTTAATAAAAAAGTGGTCAGATGACGCAGATGCTAAGCTACAGGACTGTTTTGCTAGCACAGACTGGAATATGTTCCGGGATTCTTCAGATAGCATAGAGGAGTACACCGCATCAGTCAACGGCTTCATCAATAAGTGCATCGATGACGTCGTCCCCACAGTGACCGTACGTACATACCCCAACAATAAGCCATGGATTACAGGCAACATCCGCAACAAAGCTAAAGGGTAGAGCTGCCGCTTTCAAGGAGAGGGACTCTAACCCGGACGCTTATAAGAAATCCCGCTATGCCCTCCGACGAACCATCAAACAGAAAAAGAGTCAATACCGGAATAAGATTGAATCGTACTACACCGGCTCTGACACTCGTCGGATGTGGCAGGGCTTGAAAACTATTACAGACTACAAAGGGAAGCACAGCTGCGAGCTGCCCAGTGACACAAGCCTACCAGACGAGCTAAATCACTTCTATCCTCGCTTCGAGGCAAGCAACACATGAGCATGCATGAGTGCACCAGCTGTTCCGGATGACAATGTGATCACGCTCTCCGTAGCCGATGTGAGTAAGACTTTTAAGCAGGTCAACATTCACAAGGCCGCAGGGCAAGACGGATTACCAGGACGTGTAATGTGCTGACCAACTGGCAAGTGTCTTCACTGACATTTTCAACATGTCCCTGACTGAGTCTGTAAAACCAGCATGGTTCAAGCAGACCACCATAGTCCCTGTGCCCAAGGACACTAAGATAACCTTCCTAAATGACTACCGACCCGCAGCACTCACGTCTGTAGCCATGAAGTGCTTTGAAAGGCTGGTCATGGCTCACATCAACACCATTATCCCAGAAACCCTAGACCCACTACAATTTGCATACCGCCCCAACAGATCCACAGATGATGCAATCCCTATTGCACTCCACACTGCCCTTTCCCACCTGGACAAGAGGAACACCTATGTGAGAATGCTGTTCATTGACTACAGCTCAGCGTTCAACACCATAGTGCCCTCAAAGCTCATCACTAAGCTAAGGATCCTGGGACTAAACACCTTCCTCTGCAACTGGATCCTGGATTTCCTGATGGGCCGCCCCCAGGTGGTAAGGGTAGGTAACAACACATCTGCCACGTTGATCCTCAACACGGGGGCCACTCAGGGGTGCGTGCTTAGTCCCCTCCTGTACTCCCTGTTCACGCATGACAGCATGGCCAGGCACGACTCCAACACCATCATTAAGTTTGCTGACGACACAAAAGTGGTAGGCCTCATCACCGACAACGATGAGACAGCCTATAGGGAGGAGGTCCGAGACCTGGCCGTGTGGTGCCAGGATAACAACCTCTCCCTCAACGTGATCAAGACAAAGGAGATGATTGTGGACTACAGGGAAAAAAGAGGACTGAGCACGCCCCCATTCTCATCGACGGGGCTGTATTGGAACAGGTTGAGAGCTTCAAGTTCCTTGGTGTCCATATCACCAACAAACTATCATGGTCCAAACACACCAAGATAGTCATGAAGAGGGCATGACAAAGTATATTCCCCCTCAGGAGACTAAACAGATTTGGCATGGGTCCTCAGATCCTCAAAAAGTTTTACAGCTGCACCATCGAGAGCATCCTGACTGGTTGCATCACCGCCTGGTATGGCAACTGCGCAGGCATGCGACTGCAAGGCACTACAGAGGGTAGTGCGTACGGCCCAGTACATCACTGGGGCCAAACTTCCTGCCATCCAGGACCTCTATCCCAGGCGGTGTCAGAAGAAGGACCGCAAAATTGTCAAAGACTCCAGCCACCCTAGTTATAGACTGTTCTCTCTGCTACCGCACGGCAAGCGGTACTGGAGCGCCAAGTCTAGGTCCAAAAGGCTTCTCAACAGCTTCTACCCGCAAACCATAAGACTCCTGAACAGCTAATCATGGCTACCCGGACTATTTGCACTGCCCCCCCCACCCCCACCCCCCCCTCTTTTACACTGCTGCTACTCTGTTTATTATTTATGCATAGTCACTAACTCTACCCACATGTACATATTACCTTGACTAGCCGGTGCCCCCGCACATCGACTCTGCACCGGTACCCCCATGTAAATAGCCTCCCTACTGTTATTTTATTTTACTGCTGCTCTTTAGTTATTAGCCTATTTTGTTTTACTTAAGACTTTTTTTATCTTTAAAAATGCATTGTTGGTTAAGGGCTTGTAAGTAAGCGTTTCACTGTAATGTCTACACCTGTTGTATTCGGCACATGTGGCAAATAAAATTTGATTTGATTTCTCACCAATGGGAATACATATTTTGATGTATTTAAATGACAGCTTAGTGTTGTTCCCTCACTTACGTCTTACAGCAAAAGTTTCACCACCGACCCTCCACCTCCAGCAGCTGAAGGCTCATCATCGGAACCTTTTTCTCCCAGCAGGGTGGCTTTGATGCCAGCTGCCCCGCATAGGGCTACCTGTATACCAGTATCTGGCTCCGAGGATCAATGACGAAGGCATTCCCCAAACTATTTTAATAAAATGTTTATACTTGCATCTTGTCTCTGTTGTTCATTCAGTTAAGCCTGCCCTCGATTGAACTGAGTATAGTGACTAGGGTTGGGAAATATTACGATAGTATCGTCTATCGACAATGTTTGACAGCCATCGTCGATGGTGAGGACATTGTGATGTTACAGACGATGGTTTAGCCTTTTGAACTTGACTGGCGCCGCAGCAGTTCCTCTGTGGAGATGGGACAACCTTCCCGAAGGACGACCATCTCATTAGCACTCCACCAATCAGGCCTTTATGTTAGAGCAGCCAGACGGAAGCCACTCCTCAGTAAAAGGCACATGACAGCCCGCTTGGCACCTAAAGGACTCAGACCATGAGAAACAAGATTCTCTGGTCTGATGAAACCAAGATTGAACTCTTTGGCCTGAATGACAAGCGTCACATCTGGAGGAAAGCTGGCACCATCCCTACGGTGAAGCATGGTGGTGGCAGCATCATGCTGTGGGGATGTTTTTCAGCGGCAGGGACTGGGAGACAAGTCAGGATTGAGGGAAAGATGAACGGAGCAATTTACAAAAGAGATCCTTGATGAAAACCTGCTCCAGGGCGCTCAGGACATCAGACCGGGGCGAAGGTTCACCTTCCAACAGGATAATGACCCTAAGCACACAGCCATGACAACGCAGGAGTGGCTTCGGGACAAGTCTCTGAATGTCCTTCTGTGGCCCAGCCAGAGCCCAGCCTTGAACCCGATCGACCATCTCTGGAGAGACCTGAAAATAGCTGTGCAGCGATGCTCCCCATTCAACCTGACAGAGCTTGAGAGGATCTGCAGAGAAGAATAGGAGAAACTCCCCAAATACAGCTGTGACAAGCTTGTAGCATCAAAGGTGCTTCAACAAAGTACTGAGTAAAGGGTCTGAATACTTATGTAAATGTGATATCACGCTTTTATTTTAAATACATTTACAAACATTTCTAAAAACCAGTTTTTGCTTTGTTATTATGGGGTAATTGTGCGTAGATTGATGAGGGGAAAAAACAATGTAATCCAGTTTAGAATGAGCTGTAACCAGTGCCGATTTTAGCATGTAAATCTTGGTGGGGCAATCCCCCCCCAAAAAAAATTATGCATACCAGCAAAGCAAATACACAACACAACACTAAACAATACATTAATTGCACTATAATGATGACAAACGGTGCCCAAAACTGTTAGGGCCAACAAAGTTCCAACAGCAGTCCCAACACCTTACTACTGCTACGTAGACCTGGCTATAAGCAGAGCCTTGTCTGGCAGCGAAATAGTTCATTCAGCCTAATTTCCTGCCTTTAAAAAAAACATAGCTGATAAGGCTGACTTGCTTAAACAAATGTGGTTTCTACTGACAATTGAGATGTACAAACTATGGCATAAGGGGACGACGACCGGATAAGAGGCAATCTGTAATTTCGATTAAGACATTCATGAGCGAGGACGGACGTAGTCAATATAACTATTTGTTCAGCACTTTTGAAATGTACGGCAACAGAATTCAGAACAAGGGCCGTTGTTACAGTATTCTTCGCTGTACACCAAGTCAGAACCGTAGGATAAATAAAGGGGGCATATAAGCAGACAATGAAAGCTCTTACAATATTCGATGATTACAATTCTATAAAACAGGCTATAGGCTAAATGTGCACAACCAAGTCAGAACAGTAGGCTAAGTTATTAGGGGAAAAGGGAGGGTGAGGCACATGGGCTACTAACAGCTAACTAAACAACATACACTTAATATTGCTTTCTTAGCTACAGTATACATATCTCCCTGGTATATTACATAATGTATGCAGCAGCATACACTACATTTTTGGACTCACCTTGTTGTGCTGTGCTCACTTGAACAGGAAGGTGGCGCGACGGTCCTTCTTGTGGACAGATTTTGTCATCAAAGTCTGGCATTCTCTGGATTTATGGTGTTTTCAAGACAACTGGGAACTCAGAAAAAAACTAGGTTGAATCATGACGTCAGTGATCTTTAGGTCGGAGCTCTAGAAAGAGGCCCGAGTTCCCGACTTGGAATTCCGAGTTGGATGACTGTTCAAAACGTATTTTCCCAGTCGGAGCAGTTCCCAGTTGTCTTGAATTCACTGAAGTCTGAGATTTCCCAGTTGTTTCGATTGCGGCAGAAGTCATGTTGAATGTTTATCCTTTTAAGCTTGGAAAAGAGACCCTTAAACACAGACTTGGTCCACATACCCACTCAACTGAATAGCAGGCTAGAGATTGCTTTGCAATACTTGCAGTTAGCCACTGATTCCTTCCAAACCACTCATTGCTGAATTTGCAATTTCCAACTTGTTGTGTAATGTTTATGTCCAATGGCCGATGAGCACCGATACGTTTTATCTATAATTTCTCTTCATTATTTCTCTTCATATGACAAGGATTGAAAAGGATTTGCCAGTAGATTGTCGACTTGGTTCATGATGATGACTGCTAGCTAAGATTTTGAAAGTATGATGAAAGACATGATCAGTCCAATCAAAGCTACGGTACATATAACGTTATTTGACGTCATTTTATCTGTGGCAAATGACCTTGAGCCTTCTTGGATGGGCACTTCTAATGTAACTCTATGGCAGCACCCAAGGGGCTTGAATTTTCGAGCTCTCCCCGTAGATTTTGCAGTGACGTAGTGTCCCCTTGAGTGACCGAACACTGAGCCAATCACAGCGCAACTAGAGAACATTACCATCCCTTACACTCTGTATTTTATGCTGGCTGCCCCACCACCACAGAAAGCACTGAGCTAGGCTGAAACACCTGCATTTTGGAGCTGCCTTACTCAAGAAAGCAAAAAAGAGACCATGTTTGTATGCGGCTTTATTTACTTTATTTTTGTACATTATTTGCAATCTGATATGTGACTCTGCCCCACCTGCCCTGAATGACGGGTCGCCACTGGCTGTACCGTAACAAAATGTGGAAAAAGTCAAGGGGTCTGAATACTTTCTGAATGCACTGTATTTAGGCCATTCACAATCACAGCTTTATAAGAGATTAGAAAAAAAACAATTGCCCAGGGTTCTCCCCAAAGAATGTAAAAGGGACGCTGCGGCACCTTTTGGATTGGCTGCGCCACTATGTAAAAAACAAAAACGTATACTGTATAAATATTTTTTTACTTTATTTGTTACCATTTAAGAAAATGTTTTGCTCTAGATTGCAGGAAATGGCAGTTACAGGTGTAAAAAAAAAAATATCTCAGTCCATGATTCGTATAGCTGTAGCATGCAATTTAACGCAATAGCCCAACGGTTGTTTTAGCGGAGTAAAAACAACAATAGGGGACGATACCATTGTAGATCAATGTTTTATTAGTACATAATCACAATAGGACAACGGTTGACATCGCCAAACCCTATTAGTGACACAACACTACAACAGGGCTTCCTTCACCCACATAGTAGTTGTGGAAAACATTGTCTGTCCGCAGTAGAATTTTTTCAAGACTGAGTTTTTCAAGAAAATATCCACAGCATACTGTTGTCTATTGTCTGAAGTGACAGGTGGATAACATATACAGTGCCTTCTGAAAGTATTTACACCCCTTGACTTTTTCCACATTGTTGTGTTACTGCCTGAATTTAAAATAGATTAAATTGAGATGTTGCATCACTGGCCTACATACAAAACCCCATAATGTCAAAGTGGAATTATGTTTTTTAGTTTTACAAGTTAAATAAAAATGAAAAGCTGAAATGTATTGAGTCAATAAGTATTCTGTTAAACCCTGTTATGGCAAGCCTGAATAAGTTCAGGGGTAAAAATATGCCTAACAAGTCACATAATAAGTTGCATGAACTCACTGTGTGCAATAATAGTGTTTAACATGATTTTTCAATCACTATCATCTCTGTACCCCACATATACAATTATTTGTACGTCTCTCAGTCGAGCAGTGAATTTCAAACACAGATTCAACCACAAAGACCAGGGACATTTCCAATGCCTCGCCAAGAAGGGCACCTATTGGTAGATGGCAAAATAATTATATATACTTATACATACACACAGCTGCGGAAAAAATTAAGAGACCACTGCAAAATTATCAGTTTCTCTGGTTTTACTATTTATACAGTGGGGAGAACAAGTATTTGATACACTGACAATTTTGCAGGTTTTTCTACTTACAAAGCATGGAGAGGTCTGTAATTTATCATAGGTACACTTCAACTGTGAGAGACGGAATCTAAAACAAAAATCCAGAAAATCACATTGTATGATTTTTAAGTGATTAATTTGCATTTTATTGCATGACATACAGTGGGGAAAAAAAGTATTTAGTCAGCCACCAATTGTGCAAGTTCTCCCACTTAAAAAAGATGAGAGAGGCCTGTAATTTTCATCGTAGGTACACGTCAACTATGACAGACAAAATGAGATTTTCTTTTCCAGAAAATCACATTGTAGGATTTTTTATGAATTTATTTGCAAATTATGGTGGAAAATAAGTATTTGGTCAATAACAAAAGTTTCTCAATACTTTGTTATATACCCTTTGTTGGCAATGACACAGGTCAAACGTTTTATGTAAGTCTTCACAAGGTTTTCACACACTGTTGCTGGTATTTTGGCCCATTCCTCCATGCAGATCTCCTCTAGAGCAGTGATGTTTTGGGGCTGTCGCTGGGCAACACGGACTTTCAACTCCCTCCAAAGATTTTCTATGGGGTTGAGATCTGGAGACTGGCTAGGCCACTCCAGGACCTTGAAATGCTTCTTACGAAGCCACTCCTTCGTTGCCCGGGCGGTGTGTTTGGGATCATTGTCATGCTGAAAGACCCAGCCACGTTTCATCTTCAATGCCCTTGCTGATGGAAGGAGGTTTTCACTCAAAATCTCACGATACATGGCCCCATTCATTCTTTCCTTTACACGGATCAGTCGTCCTGGTCCCTTTGCAGAAAAACAGCCCAAAAGCATGATGTTTCCACCCCCTGCTTCACAGTAGGTATGGTGTTCTTTGGATGCAACTCAGCATTCTTTGTCCTCCAAACACAACGAGTTGAGTTTTTACCAAAAAGTTCTATTTTGGTTTCATCTGACCATATGACATTCTCCCAATCCTCTTCTGGATCATCCAAATGCACTCTAGCAAACTTCAGACGGGCCTGGACATGTACTGGCTTAAGCAGGGGGACACGTCTTGCACTGCAGGATTTGAGTCCCTGGCGGCGTAGTGTGTTACTGATGGTAGGCTTTGTTACTTTGGTCCCAGCTCTCTGCAGGTCATTCACTAGGTCCCCCCGTGTGGTTCTGGGATTTTTGCTCACCGTTCTTGTGATCATTTTGACCCCACGGGGTGAGATCTTGCGTGGAGCCCCAGATCGAGGGAGATTATCAGTGGTCTTGTATGTCTTCCATTTCCTAATAATTGCTCCCACAGTTGATTTCTTCAAACCAAGCTGCTTACCTATTGCAGATTCAGTCTTCCCAGCCTGGTGCAGGTCTACAATTTTGTTTCTGGTGTCCTTTGACAGCTCTTTGGTCTTGGCCATAGTGGAGTTTGGAGTGTGACTGTTTGAGGTTGTGAACAGGTGTCTTTTATACTGATAACAAGTTCAAACAGGTGCCATTAATACAGGTAACGAGTGGAGGACAGAGGAGCCTCTTAAAGAAGTTGTTACAGGTCTATGAGAGCCAGAAATCTTGCTTGTTTGTAGGTCACCAAATACTTATTTTCCACCATAATCTGCAAATAAATTCATTAAAAATCCTACAATGTGATTTTCTGGATTTTTTTTCCTCAATTTGTCTGTCATAGTTGACGTGTACCTATGATGAAAATGACAGGCCTCTCTCATCTTTTTAAGTGGGAGAACTTGCACAATTGGTGGCTGACTAAATACTTTTTTCCCCCACTGTAAGTAGTTGATCACCTACCAACCAGTAAGAATTCCGGCTCTCACAAACCTGTTAGTTTTTCTTTAAGAAGCCCTCCTGTTCTCCACTCATTACCTGTATTAACTGCACCTGTTTGAACTCTTTACCTGTATAAAAGACATCTGTCCACACACTCAATCAAACAGACTCCAACCTCTCCACAATGGCCAAGACCAGAGAGCTGTGTAAGGACATCAGGGATAAAATTGTAGACCTGCACAAGGCTGGGATGGGCTACAGGACAATAGTCAAGCAGCTTGGTGAGAAGGCAACAACTGTTGGCGCAATTATTAGAAAATGGAAGAAGTTCAAGATGACGGTCAATCACCCTCGGTCTGGGGCTCCATGCATGATCTCACCTCGTGGGGCATCAATGATCATGAGGAAGGTGAGGGATCAGCCCAGAACTACACGGCAGGACCTGGTCAATGACCTGAAGAGAGCTGGGACCACAGTCTCAAAGAAAACCATTAGTAACACACTACGCCGTCATGGATTAAAATCCTGCAGCGCACGCAAGGTCCCCCTGCTCAAGCCAGCGCATGTCCAGGCCGTCTGAAGTTTGCCAATGACCATCTGGATGATCCAGAGGAGGAATGGGAGGTCATGTGGTCTGATGAGACAAAAATTGAGCTTTTTGGTCTAAACTCCACTCGCCGTGTTTGGAGGAAGAAGAAGGATGAGTACAACCCGAAGAACACCATCCCAACCGTGAAGCATGGAGGTGGAAACATCATTCTTTGGGGATGCTTTTCTGCAAAGGGGACAGGACGACTGCACCGTATTGAGGGGAGGATGGATGGGGCCATGTATCGCGAGATCTTGGCCAACAACCTCCTTCCCTCAGTAAGAGCATTGAAGATGGGTCGTAGCTGGGTCTTCCAGCATGACAACGACCCGAAACACACAGCCAGGGCAACTAAGGAGTGGCTCCGTAAGAAGAATCTCAAGGTCCTGGAGTGGCCTAGCCAGTCTCCAGACCTGAACCCAATAGAAAATCTTTGGAGGGAGCTGAAAGTCCATATTTCCCAGCGACAGCCCTGAAAACTGAAGTATCTGGAGAAGGTCTGTATGGAGGAGTGGGCCAAAATCCCTGCTGCAGTGTGTGCAAACCTGGTCAAGACCTACAGGAAACGTATAAATAAATAATAAATAATATGCCATATGATCTCTGTAATTACAAACAAAGGTTTCTGTACCAAATATTAAGTTCTGCTTTTCTGATGTATCAAATACTTCTGTCATGCAATAACATTTACATTTACGTCATTTAGCAGACGCTCTTATCCAGAGCGACTTACAGTTAGTGCATACATTATTCTTTTTTATTTTCATACTGGCCCCCGGTGGGAAACGAACCCACAACCCTGGCGTTGCAAACGCCATGCTCTACCAACTGAGTTACCTCCCTGCCGGCCATTCTCTCCCTTACCCTGGACGACGCTGGGACAATTGTGCGCCGCCCCATTGGTCTCCCGGTTGCGGCCGGCTACAGCAGAGCCTGGATAAAATGCAAATGAATTACTTAAATCATACAATGTGATTTTCTGGATTTTTGTTTTAGATTCCGTCTCTCACAGTTTAAGTGTACCTATGATAAAAATTACAGACCTCTACATGCTTTGTAAGTAGGAAAACCTGCAAAATCAGCAGTGTATCAAATACTTGTTCTCCCCACTGTAGGTGTAGTGAGGGAAAAAAGTATTTGATCCCCTGCTGATTTTGTACGTTTGCCCACTGACAAAGAAATGAACAGTCTATCATTTTAATGGTAGGTTTATTTGAACAGTGAGAGACAGAATAACAACAAAAAAATCCAGAAAAACGCATGTCAAAAATGTTATAAATTGATTTGCATTTTAATGAGGGAAATAAGTATTTGACCCTCTCTCAAATCAGAAAGATTTCTGGCTCCCAGGTGTCTTTTTATACAGGTAAGGAGCTGAGATTAGGAGCACACTCTTAAAGGGATTGCTCCTAATCTCAGCTTGTTACCTGTATAAAAAGACACCTGTCCACAGAACCAATCAATCAATCAGATTCCAAACTCTCCACCATGGCCAAGACCAAAGAGCTCTCCAAGGATGTCATGGACAAGATTGCAGACCTACACAAGGCTGGAATGGGCTACAAGACCATCGCCAAGCAGCTTGGTGAGAAGGTGACAACAGTTGGTGTGATTATTCGCAAATGGAAGAAACACAAAATACACTGCTCAAAAAAATTAAGGGAACACTAAAATAACACATCCTAGATCTGAATGAATGAAATAATCTTATTAAATACTTTTTTCTTTACATAGTTGAATGTGCTGACAACAAAATCACACAAAAATTATCAATGGAAATCAAATTTATCAACCCATGGAGGTCTGGATTTGGAGTCACCCTCAAAATTAAAGTGGAAAACCACACTACAGGCTGATCCAACTTTGATGTAATGTCCTTAAAACAAGTCAAAATGAGGCTCAGTAGTGTGTGTGGCCTCCACGTGCCTGTATGACCTCCCTACAACGCCTGGGCATGCTCCTGATGAGGTGGCGGATGGTCTCCTGAGGGATCTCCTCCCAGACCTGGACTAAAGCATCCGCCAACTCCTGGACAGTCTGTGGTGCAACGTGGCGTTGGTGGATGGAGCGAGACATGATGTCCCAGATGTGCTCAATTGGATTCAGGTCTGGGGAACGGGTGGGCCAGTCCATTGCATAAATGCCTTCCTCTTGCAGGAACTGCTGACACACTCCAGCCACATGAGGTCTAGCATTGTCTTGCATTAGGAGGAACCCAGGGCCAACCGCACCAGCATATGGTCTCACAAGGGGTCTGAGGATCTCATCTCGGTACCTAATGGCAGTCAGGCTACCTCTGGCGAGCACATGGAGGGCTGTGCGGCCCCCCAAAGAAATGCCACCCCACACCATGACTGACCCACCGCCAAACCGGTCATGCTGGAGGATGTTGCAGGCAGCAGAACGTTCTCCACGGCGTCTCCAGACTCTGTCACATGTGCTCAGTGTGAACCTGCTTTCATCTGTGAAGAGCACAGGGCGCCAGTGGCGAATTTGCCAATCTTGGTGTTCTCTGGCAAATGCCAAACGTCCTGCACGGTGTTGGGCTGTAAGCACAACCCCCACCTGTTGACGTCGGGCCCTCATACCACCCTCATGGAGTCTGTTTCTGACCGTTTGAGCAGACACATGCACATTTGAGGCCTGCTGGAGGTCATTTTGCAGGGCTCTGGCAGTGCTCCTCCTGCTCCTCCTTGCACAAAGGCGGAGGTAGCAGTCCTGCTGCTGGGTTGTTGCCCTCCTACGGCCTCCTCCACATCTCCTGATGTACTGGCCTGTCTCCTGGTAGCGCCTCCATGCTCTGGACACTACGCTGACAGACACAGCAAACCTTCTTGCCACAGCTCGCATTGATGTGCCATCCTGGATGAGCTGCACTACCTGAGCCACTTGTGTGGGTTGTAGACTCCGTCTCATGCTACCACTAGAGTGAAAGCACCGCCAGCATTCAAAAGTGACCAAAACATCAGCCAGGAAGCATTGGAACTGAGAAGTGGTCTGTGGTCACCACCTGCAAAACCAGTCCTTTATTGGGGGTGTCTTGCTAATTGCCTATAATTTCCACCTGTTGTCTATTCCATTTGCACAACAGCATGTGAAATGTATTGTCAATCAGTGTTGCTTCCTAAGTGGACAGTTTGATTTCACAGAAGTGTGATTGACTTGGAGTTACATTGTGTTGTTTAAGTGTTCCCTTTATTTTTTTGAGCAGTGTAACTGTCAATCTCCCTCGGCCTGGGGCTCCATGCAAGATCTCACCTCATGGAGTTGCAATGATCATGAGAACGGTGAGGAATCAGCCCAGAACTACACGGGAGGATCTTGTCAATGATCTCAAGGCAGCTGGGACCATAGTCACCAAGAAAACAATTGGTAACACACTACGCCGTGAAGGACTGAAATCCTGCAGCGCCCGCAAGGTCCCCCTGCTCAAGAAAGCACATATACAGGGCCGTCTGAAGTTTGTCAATGAACATCTGAATGATTCAGAGGAGAACTGGGTGAAAGTGTTGTGGTCAGATGAGACCAAAATGGAGCTCTTTGGCATCAACTCAACTCACCGTGTTTGGAGGAGGAGGAATGCTGCCTATGACCCCAAGAACACCATCCCCACCGTCAAACATGGAGGTGGAAACATTATGCTTTGGGGGTGTTTTTCTGCTAAGGGGACAGGACAACTTCACCGCATCAAAGGGACGATGGACGGGGCCATGTACCGTCAAATCTTGGGTGAGAACCTCCTTCCCTCAGCCAGGGCATTGAAAATGGGTCTTGGATGGGTATTCCAGCATGACAATGACCCAAAACACATGGCCAAGGCAACAAAGTAGTGGCTCAAGAAGAAGCACATTAAGGTCCTGGAGTGGCCTAGCCAGTCTCCAGACCTTAATCCCATAGAAAATCTGTGGCGGGAGCTGAAGGTTCGAGTTGCCAAAAGTCAGCCTCGAAACCTTAATGATCTGCAAAGAGGAGTGGGACAAAATCCCTCCTGAGATTAGTGCAAACCTGGTGGCCAACTACAAGAAACGTCTGACCTCTGTGATTGCCAACAAGGGTTTTGCCACCAAGTACTAAGTCTTGTTTTGCAGAGGGGTCAAATACTTATTTCCCTCATTAAAATGCAAATCAATTTATAACATTTTTTACATGCATTTTTCTGGATTTTTTTGTTGTTATTCTGTCTCTCACTGTTCAAATAAACCTACCATTAAAATTATAGACTGATCATTTCTTTGTCAGTGGGCAAACGTACAAAATAATTTTTGTTTTATTCTATAAACTACTGACAATATTTCTCCCAAATTCCAAATAAGAATATTGTCATTTAGAGCATTTATTTGCAGAAAATGACAACTTGTCAAAATAACAAAAAACACGCAGTGTTGTCAGACCTTGAATAATGCAAAGAAAATAAGTTCATTTTTAAACAACACAATAGTAATGTTTTAACTTAGGAAGAGTTCAGAAATCAATATTTGGTGGAACAACACAGATTTTAAATCACAGCTTTCATGCGTCTTGGCATGCTTTCCAACAGTCTTTCACATTGATGTTGGGTGACTTTATGCCACTCCTGGCGCAAAAATTCAAACAGCTCGGCTTTGTTTGATGGCTTGCGACCATCCATCTTCCTCTTGATCACATTCCCGAAGTTTTCAAAGGGGTTCAGGTCTGGAGATTGGGCTGGCCATGACAAGGTCTTGATCTGGTGGTCCTCCATCCACACCTTGATTGACCTGGCTGTGTGGCATGGCGCATTGTCCTGCTGGAAAAAACAATCCTCAGAGTTGGGGAACAATGTCAGAGCAAAAGGAAGCAAGTTTTCTTCCAGGACAACCTTGTACGTGGCTTGATTCATGCGTCCTTCACAAAGACAAATCTGCCCAATTCCAGCCTTGCTGAAGCACCCCCAGATCATCACCGATCCTCCACCAAATTTCACAGTGGGTGTGAGACACTGTGGCTTGTAGGCCTCTCCAGGTCTCCGTCTAACCATTAGACGACCAGGAGTTGGGCAAAGCTGAAAATTGGACTCAGATGACTTTACTCCAGTCCTCTACGGTCCAATCCTTATGGTCTTTTGCAAACCTCAGCCTGGCTCTTCTTCGCTTTTCATTGATGAAGTGCTTTTTTCTAGCTTTGTACGACTTTAGCCCTGCCCCTAGGAGCCTGTTACGAACCGTCCTCGCCGTGCACTTCACCCCAGCTGCCGTTTGCCATTCTTTTTGTAGGTCACTTGATGTCATCCTACGGTTGTTGAGTGACATTCGAATGAGTTGGCGGTCATCAGTAGAGAGTCGTTTTCACCCTCTGCCGGTCTGTAGCTTTGTTGTCCCCAATGTCTGCTGCTTGATCTTGTTCTTATGAACCGCCATCTTTGAAATTTTAAGGATGGAAGCAACCTGACGCTCACTGTATCCCTCTGCCAGTAAAGCCAGAATTGAACCCTTCTTTTCCTCACTCAAAACGTTCCTTTTCAACTCTTTTGGCATGGTCAATAGTTATTTTTTGATTAATATTACTTTTGAGGTACTATTAGAACTGTTTTTGCCATCCAGCTGGTCCTATTGCAAGAGGATAGTGATGACAACAGCAGTGGTTTTTATACTTTTCCTCGTTAAATAAGATTTGGTTAATGTGATCACCTAATCTGTACCTAATTCAGTAGAATGAGGTGTGCCTGTGTTGGAATTCTACAGACACTGGAATGGAATGTTTGTCATACATGTAGAGATGCTGATTTAAGAAAGATTTGCAGCTTTATATACACATACATACACACCAACGTTCAAACGCTTGGGGTCACTTAGAAATGTACTTGCTTTCCATGAAAACATACATGAAATGAGTTTGAATAGGAAATATAGCAAAATGAATAGGAAATGTAGTCATTGACAAGGTTAGAAACAATGATTTTTAATTGAAATAATAATTGTGTCCTTCAAACTTTGCTTTCGTCAAAGAATCCTCCATTTGCAGCAATTATAGCCTTGCAGAACTTTGGCATACTAGTTGTCAATTTGATGAGGGAATCTGAAGAGATTTCACCCCACGCTTCCTGAAGCACCTCCCACAAGTTGGACTGGCTTCATGGGCACTTCTTACGTACCATACGGTCAAGCTGCTCCCACAACAGCTCAATAAGGTTGAGATCCGGTGACTGTGCTGGCCACTCCATTATAGACAGAATACCAGCTGACTGCTTCTTCCCTAAATAGTTATTGCATAGTTTGGAGCTGTGCTTTGGGTAACTGTCCTGTTGTAGGAGGAAATTGGCTCCAATCAAGCGCCGTCCACAGAGTATGGCATGGCGTTGCAAAATGGAGTGATTGCCTTCCTTCTTCAATATCCCTTTTACCCTGTACATATCTCCCACTTTACCACCACCAAAGCACCCCCAGACCATCACATTGCCTCCACCATCCTTGACAGATTGCATCAAGCACTACTCCAGCATCTTTTCATTTGGTCTGCGTCTCACAAATGTTCTTCTTTGTGATCCGAACACCTCAAACTTTGATTCGTCTGTCCATAACACTTTTTTCCAATCTTCCTCTGTCCAGTGTCAGTGTTCTTTTGCCCATCTTAATATTTTCTTTTTATTGGCCAGTCTGAGATATGGCTTTTTCTTTGCAACTCTGCCTAGTAGGTCAGCATCCCGGAGTCGCCTCTTTTGCCGGTACTATTTAATTAAGCTGCCAGTTGAGGACCTGTGTAGACACTAATGTATTTGTCCTCTTGCTCAGTTGTGCACCGGGGCCTCCCACTCCTCTTTCTACAGTATTATGGTTAGAGCCAGTTTGCGCTGTTCTGTGAAGGGAGTAGTACACAGCGTTGTATGAGATCTTCAGTTTCTTGGCAATTTCTCGCATGGAATAGCCTTCATTTTTCAGAACAAGAATAGACTGAAGAAAGAATAGTTTCACAAGAAAGTTCTTTGTTTCTGGCCATTTTGAGCCTGTTCTCGAATCCACAATTGCTGATGCTCCAGATACTCAACAAGGCCAGTATTATTGCTTCTTTAATCAGAACAACAGTTTTCAGCTGTGCTAACATAATTGCAAAAGGGTTTTCTAATGATCAATTAGCCTTTTAAAATGATAAACTTGGATTAGCAAACACAACGTGCCATTGGAACACAGGACTGATGGTTGCTGATAATGGGCCTCTGTACGCCTATGTAGATATTCCATAAAAAAATCTGCCGTTTCCAGCTACAATGGCTATTTACAACATTAACAATGTCTACACTGTATTTCTGATCAATTTGATGTTATTTTAATGAACTTTGTATTTATTTTATTTTTTGAAAACAATGACATTTCTAAGTGATCCCAAACTTTTTAACAGTAGTGTACACACACAGTACCAGTCAAAAGTTTGGACATACCTACTCATTCCAGGGTTTCTCTTTATTTTTATTATTTTCTACATTGTAGAATAATAGTGAAAACATCAAAACTATGAAATAACACATATGGAATCATGTAGTAACCAAAAATGTGTTAAACAAATCAAAATATATTTCATATTTGAGATTCTTCAAATAGCCACCCTTTACCTTGATGACAGCTTTGCACACTATTGGCATTCTCTCAACCAGCTTCACCTTGAATGATTTTCCAACAGTCTTGAAGGAGTTCCCACATATGCTGAGCACTTGTTGGCTGCTTTTCCTTCACTCTGCAGTCCGACTCATCCCAAACCATCACAATTTGGTTGAGGTCGGGGATTGTGGAGGCCAGGTCATCTGATGCAGCACTCAATCACTCTCCTTCTTGGTAAAATAGACCTTACACAGCCTGGATGTTTGATGGGTCATTGTCCTGTTGAGAAACAAATGACAGTCCCACTAAGCCCAAACCAGATGGGATGGCGTATCGCTGCAGAATGCTGTGGTAGGCATGCTGGTTAGCTGTGCCCTGAATTCTAAATATCACAGACATTGTCACCAGCAAAGCACCCCCACACCACAACACCTCCTCCTCCATCCTTTACGGTGGGAAATACACATGCGGAGATCATCCGTTCACCCACACCGCGTTTGACAAAGACAAGGCGGTTGGAACCAAAAATCTCAAATTTGGACTCAAGACCAAAGGACAAATTTCCACCGGTCTAATGTACATTGCTTGTGTTTCTTGGCCAAAGCAAGTCTCATCTTCTTATTGGTGTCCTTTAGTAGTGGTTTCTTTGCAGCAATTTGACCATGAAGGCCTGATTCACACAGTCTCCTCTGAACAGTTGATGTTGAGATGTGTCTGTTACTTGAACTCTGAAGCGTTTATTTGGGCTGCAATTTCTGAGGCTGGTAACTCTAATGAACTCATCCTCTGCAGCAGAGGTAACTCAGGGTCTTCCATTCCGGTAGCAGTCCTCACGAGATGCAGTCATCATAGCGCTTGATGGTTTTTGCAACTGCATTTAAAGAAACGTTCAAAGTTCTTTAAATGTTCCGCATTGACTGACCTTCATGTCTTAAAGTAATGTTGGACTGTCATTTCTCTTTGCTTATCTGAACTGTTCTTGCCATAATATGGACTTAGTCTTTTACCAAATAGGGCTATCTTCTGTATACCCCCCTACCTTGTCACAACACTGATTGGCTCAAATGCATTGAGAATAAAATAAATTCCACAAATTAACTTAAGAAGGCACACCTATTAATTGAAATGCATTCCAGGTGACTACCTCATGAAGCTGGTTGAGAAAATGCCAAGAGTTTGCAAAGCTGTCATCAAGGCAAATGGTGGCATAGTTTTGATGTCTTCACTATTATTCTACAATGTAAAAAATTGTAAAAATAAAGAAAAAAAAACTTGAATGAGTAGGTGTATCCAAACTTTTGACTGGTACTGTGTGTAATATATATATATATATTACACACAATGAATATCCTTTTGAGCATGGTGAAGGTAATTAATTACACTTTGGATGGTGTATCAATACACCAGTCACTACAAAGATACAGGCGTCCTTCCAAACTCAGTTGTCTGAGAGGGGCTCCTGACCAATTGTGCTATTTTGTGCTGATCTTAACTTTTTTTGTACATAATGTTTCCGCCATCGTTTCCTATGACCGCAAATAGCTTTTCAATTTATTCCTTGTTATTATTTTAATATGTTTTCTACTCTTTTTTTTCGACTATTCATTGTTGGGTAGGGCCCATAAGTAAGCATTTCACTGTTAGTCTACACCGGTTGTTTACGAAGCATGTGACACATACAATTTGTTTTGAACCACTCAGGGATTATAAAATAGTTAGAGTGTATTGCCTGTGATAGGAGAAAACTGAGGATGGATCAACAACATTGCAGTTACTCCACAATATTAACCAAAAAAACAGACTGAAAAGGAGGACACCTGTACAGAATAAAAAATATTCCAAAACATGCATCCTGTAATAATAATAATAATAATGCACTAAAGTAAAACTGCAAAAAATGTGTCATAGAAATTTACTTAATGTCCTGAATACAAAGTGTTATGTTTGGGGCAAATCCCAGTCACTACAAAGATATAGGCGTCTTCCAGTTGCCCAGAGAGGAAGGAAACCACTCAGGGATTTCACCATGAGGACAATGGTTAACTTTAAAACAGTTACAGAGTTTAATGGCTGAGATAGGAGCAAACTGAGGATGGATCAACAACATTGTAGTTACTCCACAATACTAACCTAAATGACAGAGTGAAAAGAAGGAAGCTTGTACAGAACAAAAATATTTCAAAACATGCATCCTGTTTGCAGTAAGGCACTAAATTTAAACAGCAAAAAAAATGTGGCAAAGAAATTAACTTTATGTTTGGGGCGAATCCAACACAACACATCACTGAGTACCACTCTTCATAATTTCCAAGCACGGTGTTGGCTGCATCATGTTATGGGTATGCTTGTAATCGGCAAGGAGTAGGGAGTTTTTAAAGATAAAAATAAATGAAATAGAGCTAAGCACAGGCAAAATCCTAGAGCAAAAGTCTAGTTTGCTCTTCTAACAGTGTTATCAGAACATTTTGCTAGAATGTTTTGCCTACGCTAGCGTAGTATAAGAGGTGATTATTTTGCTCTTCACTCACATAGTAGCCTAGGCTATAACCCTGACTAAAAGCCCTTGACTTCTCTGATAATCAATGTGATTTTTGTCTGTATATTTGGTTATTTGATCTCTGGCTGGGCAAATAAGTGGAGGTGGCAGCGCATCTATTAGTTTGCTAATATCTGATCAGACACATTAGGCATGCTATAATGTAGTATAAATCAAGTGTATTATTTTGCTATTGACTCGCGCTTAGACAACTCAAAAAGCCAGCGGAGGTTGTGAAATATAAACACGAGACTCACATCCTTTCGAAAATATAGATAGCTATTATTTTCTGTGCATATCATGATGAAGGTAGATTCTACACCGAGTAGACTACGCCTAGGCGTAGCTCGTATTAGGGCTTACGCCCAGGTGGTGCAACAGGTATCATTTTTAGGTGCAGCGTAGAGCACATTTTACATTGGACGTAAATTTACAACCCACTTACAACCAACTGGTGCAACCGGCGCCTGGTGTTGCCAGCACATAACCTACTGAGCCATGGAACATTGAGCCATGGAACATTGTGAATTTTGAGATGCAGACTTACCGCTCTCCTGACGGTCATCGTCCAGGCCGTCGTACAGGCCGGAGATGGTCGTCACGGCCGTGTACACACAGTAGAGGTCAGAGGTCAGCCTGTCTGCCATGCTCTCCTCGTAGTTGTGACACCCGTGCAGCTGGCCCACCGTCTGGCCAATAAAATCTTTGCAGATCCCCGGCAGGGTGGAGTCTGATGAGCTGGGATGCAGAGAGGGCGGTTTGGCCACACCCATCAGACCTGGAACGGAGACAGACAAGTTGGCCAAAATCATTACGTGAAATATGAAGGAAACTCCATGTGGACTACGAGAGCAATAACTGTAGGCCATTTTTTTTTACACCTAACGTTATACCATTCTTTCATATCTACAGTTGAAGTCGGAAGTTTACATACACTTAGGATGGCAAGTCGGTTAGGACATCTACTTTGTGCATGACACAAGTAAGTTTTCCAACAATTGTTTACAGACAGATTATTTAACTTATAATTCACTGTATCACAATTCCAGTGGGTCAGAAGTTTACATACACTAAGTTGACTGTGCCTTTAAACAGCTTGTTAAATTCCAGAAAATTATGTTATGGTTTTAGAAGCTTCTGATAGGCTAATTGACATCATTTTAGTCAATTGGAGGAGTACCTGTGGATGTATTTCAAGGCCTACCTTCAAACTCAGTGCCTCTTTGCTTGACATCATGGGAAAATCAAAAGAAATCAGCCAAGACCTCAGAAAAAAAATTATAGATCTCCACAAGTCTGGTTTATCCTTGGGAGAAATTTCCAAACGCCTGAAGGCACCACGTTCATCTGTACAAACAATAATACGCAAGTATAAACACCATGGGACCACGCAGCATTCATACCGCTCAGGAAGGAGACGCGTTCTGTCTCCTAGAGATTAACGTACTTTGGTGCGAAAAGTGCAAATCAATCCCAGAACAGCAGCAAAGGACCTTGTGAAGATGCTGGAGGAAGCAGGTACAAAAGTATCTATATCCACAGTAAAACGAGTCCTATATCGACATAACCTGAAAGGCCGTTCAGCAAGGAAGAAGCCACTGCTCCAAAACCGCCATAAAAAAGCCAGACTACGGTTTGCAACTGCACATGGGGACAAAGATCGTACTTTTTGGAGAAATGTCCTCTGGTCTGATGAAACAAAAATTGAACCGTTTGGCCATAATGACCATCGTTACGTTTGGAGGAAAAAGGGGGATACTTGTAAGCCAAAAGAACACCATCCCAACCGTGAAGCACAGGGGTGGCAGCATCATGCTGTGGGGGTGATTTGCTGCAGCAGGGACTGGTGCACTTCACAAAATAGATGGCATCATGAGGAAGGAAAATGATGTGGATATATTGAAGCAACATCTCAAGACATCAGTCAGGAAGTTAAAGTTTGGTCGCAAATGGGTCTTCCAAATGGACAATGACCCCAAGCATACTTCCAAAGTTGTGGCAAAATGGCTTAAGGACAACAAAGTCAAGTATTGGAGTGGCCAACACAAAGCCCTGACCTCAATCCTATAGAAAATGTGTGGGCAGAATTGAAAAGGCGTGTGTGAGCAAGGAGGCCTACAAACCTGACTCAGTTACACCAGCTCTGTCAGGAGGAATGGGCCAAAATTCATCCAACTTATTGTGGGAAGCTTGTGGAAGGCTACCCGAAACGTTTGACCCAAGTTAAACAATTTAAAAGGCAATGCTACCAAATACTAATTGAGTATATGTAAACTTCTGACCCACTGGGAATGTGCTGAAATAAATAAAAGCTGAAATAAATCACTCTAGTATTATTCTGACATTTCACATTCTTAAAATAAAGTGGTGATCCTAACTGACCTAAAACCGGGAATTTTTACTAGTATTAAAGGTCAGGAATTGTGAAAAACTGAGTTTAAATGTATTTGGCTAAGGTGTATGTAAACTTCCGACTTCAACTGTATATGCGGTAGTCTGGCAAAAGAGACTAAAAGTCCTTCACTGTCTTACACACACACACACGCAGGACCGCACAACACAACACACACATACCAGAGGACTGTGAGGTGTTACTTTTATGAAGGCTTTGAATAGGGTGCACTCTGATTTCGTAGAGACGCCCTGAAATCCTCCTGCTCTTCAACAGGCTTCTGCTCCTATAATGGTGGGGAACAAACAACAAAAAGCACACATTACTAATGTGTCTTGGAATGGATCTCAACAGTCTAAAACAGCGTTGCCTCATCACCAACTTTTACTGATCTGAAAGCAAATTCATGTCTGATAGGCACCACGCACCAGCCTCATTTCATTCACCAATCCTATGTTATCAGATCAGTGCAGATGAAGGAGAGGAGACAGGACAAGAGAGGCCATTTTCAATAACTGAGATCCAAACATTGTCGGCAGAATGTGAGTGTTCTCTCGGGCAGCGTCCTGATTCCCCACACTTGTATACTCCCGTCATGGATTTTAAAAAATGGTGAACTCCCTCCAGCTAAGGCCTACAGAAAATCCAAAGCTTTTAAAATCCATGACGGGGAGTGTGCAAGTGCACACTTCGGGAAAAGCAGGGCTATGGGAGACAGACAGAGACAAAGAGAGAGACACACAGACAGACCGACCGACCGACAGAGACAGACAGAGCACTAGCTGTGGCTGCTAGTGGGTTCAGGGTAAGCTCCAGAGGATTCAGGTGAGAGTGAGTAGCGAGAGAGACCGAGACATTTGCCATGTTTCATTTGGCCTCCTCTCCTTCACCGCAGGCACCACCAAGCCCATAAACATGGCCAACAAGAAAAATAAAGTGGGGAAAAAAAGTCACTGCGAGGTTTGTGGGCAGTGGAGAGAGAACATAGGAATGCTGGCTGGCCTTTCCCAAAAAGTTTTTAAAAAACACTCGCTCTCTAGGAGGGGAAGAAATTAGGGAAATGTTTCTGTGTGGTTATTTCACACTGAGGTGAAGAAAAATGACACATTGAACTTCCAGGATGTGCCAAGTAGTAAATCAACAGAGTGGAAATATCAATAAGAGCGCTGTAGAAAAAAAATAACCCAACGCGTTCCATATGTTCAACAAATTATAGTTTTCTATGTTGGCTCTCAAGTGAGCTCAAAAACACGGTTTTCCACATTCATCATATTCAACTTACTTTGACACATTTTTGCAAGTGTTTGAGTTCAATTGAGGAGGATAGACAAATTGTAAAGAGGAGAGACTAGGTTTGTGTCCCAAAATGGCACCCTATTCTGTACATAGTGCACTACTGTTGACCAGAGCCCTATGGGGCCTGGTCAAAAGTAGTGTACTATATAGAGAATAGGGTGCCATTTGGGACGTACATTAGAAATTACCTTCTGCGTGAAAAGGAGGCGGTTGAGGAAGCCGATATATCTTGCTCCCACTCATCATTGGGGTCGTAAAACACGTCTTCATCTTTAGAGGCGCTGCTGTCACCCTGGGGAAGGAGAATAAATGACTGCTCAGTTAACCCCAGTCTCATTTATTCAGCTTAATGAGAAACTACAGGAACGGAGGATGCCCCTCATGCATAAACAATCGTTTTGTAAATTAGGTGTGCACCGGCAGAATCCACAAAGGGCGGACTTACTGTTCCACTGGTTGAGTGTGAGACAGACAGGGTGGGAGAACGCAGTCTAAATCGACCTGATAGTGGTATGATAACTACCAACTAGATTAACCAGAGAGCATCCACATTTATTTTTTTAATGCACCAAACACAGCTCTTTAAATTCAAATGGACAACATATGCATTAGTAGCAAGGAATAACTCAATGTCTGTTACTGACCTGTTCGAGTTCCCTCATGGCGGCCAGGTTGCTCTGGAACTTCTCCAGACTCCAGAAGGTGGAGATGCCCAGTTTGGTGTTCTGCACCTGGACCTGCAGCTCTCCCTTTCCCCCTCCGCCCTCCTTCTCAGACTCCTCGTGTCTAAAAACAAAATTAAGATTGAGATCAATCTAAAAAGTAGATGACAAGATAAGGGATGGCATATAATGCAGGGCTTCCTTGAAAAAATAGACCTTGGACTCAATGGGACTTCACCCTGTCTAAATAAAGGTTAAATAAATGAAATAAAATGAGTGAAATAATTTCCTGCTAGATCTATCTCAATATGCAGCAAAACAAAGAACTATTTTATATAAAATGGGATCTAAAGATTTTGATTATCTCCACTCGTACCTGCTGAAAACTGTGTTCTTCATGAGTTTGCCACTGATCTTGTTGGCTTCTTCGATCATCAGAGACAACTTCATGGCGTCCCACTGTGGAGGGACTTAAACAACAGACCACACAGCATGGGTGTATTTTCTAGGAACAAAACAAAAGCAAACAGAACCAAACAGGGAGGGACCTACCTGAGTTTGTCCAATGGAAACTCTCGTTTCCTTTGCATAACATTTTTCTATGGTTTGCTATGGTGTGGACTAATGAATACACCCCAGGTCACCAGAACTGTAACTAGCTACAACACCAGAACCATGTTGTGACGTAATGGAAACAACAATTATCTTCACAACACAACGCTAGCTATTAGTTAAACCTTTCCTATTTACATTGTTGTCCGATCTAATCTCTGATTCATACACTTCCTTGCGATTTCTCGTGAATACAACACAGAAGATGAAAATTCCCAACAATGGTTTACCGTTTTTCAGAGTCTGGCTTCCTTTCTGCGCCACTTTCCTTTGCATATCCTCTAGGTCTTTGCCGATCTTCCTCTTCTCTGCCTCAAGGGCCTCCACCACCTTGGCCTGCCGGACACCGTGATCGGCCATGGCCTGCCGTGTGGCCTGGGCCTCCATGTGGAGGCGGAGACGTGTCTTGTGCGTGTCCACCTCCTGCTCCAGCTCCACCTTGGCAGACTGCAGCTCCTCCATCTTGGAGACCACCCGCTGCTGGTCCATTTCTTGACACCGCTTCCTTTCGCTCTCCTCCTCCTGCGGGAAGGAAAGCACCGTTGTGATGAGTAAAAGGTCTTAAAGGTCCAATGCAGTTGTTTTTATATCAAATAATTTCTGTGTAACAATTAAGTACCTTACTGTAATAGATTTCCATTCAAGTGGGTAAAAATACCTTTTTAGCAAAAAACTATTTCTCAAGCAAGAATTTTGCTAGGACTGTCTGGGAGTGGTCTGAGTGGGGTGGGGAAAACTTAAAACTAGCTGTTATTGGTAAAGGTTTGGAATTCTTTGATATTGGTCTATTCCGTGTCACCACGAAAGCCGAAACTCCCACCCATACAAACCTGTGCAGATTGTATTTTCAACCAGCAACTATCAGGAAATAACACTGGTCAAAACAATGTCACACTTTTACAGTGTTAGTTTCATCAGCTGTTGTACAATATGATACAAAACAAAAGCAAAACTAAATTTTGCCTGCACTGGCCCTTTAAATGAGAATGTAGCTTTTTTACAACCACATTTATTTATTTATATATATATAAATAAATGGCATGTTATAGAAGGATTCGATTTCACTTGTTTTTGAGAAACTTACGGAAAAGCTCAGTATAATGATGCAGGTCTTATGATGTTCTACACATGAAATTGTGTCATTCCGAACGTTATCCGCAACATTATACTGCATTTTGTTGTGACTCGAGCGATACCTCTTTGTACATTCTAGCAGTAGGCTACACTGAGAATGGAACAGCTGGAAAAGGGAAACAGCTCGAGTCGCACAAAATGGAATATAACGTTGCAGATAAAGTTCGGAATGACAATTTCGCTATACTGAGAGTGTTTCCGTTTCTAAAAGGACATAGTTGGGTGTTTTTGGAGCATTTGCTTTATGTATTTTCTGAGCCCCCATACTGCAGAACTAGGCTGAGGAAGTGAATCGCTGGTTGGTGTAAGTTTCTCAACAAGTGAAATCAAAAAAATTAAAAGTGTCTGAACCCTTCTATAAAATTATATTTACATAAACAATAGAGATTTGGTTGTAAAAAAGCAAACTTACATACACCGTTGTATGACTATGACTACAAAATGTTACACCGTTGTAGGACTGTCTGTAACCAGGTTTCCATCAAACCTTTTAATGTCACGACAGGCCTGATGGAAACAGCAATTTTTTTGGTAAACTTTCGCTAGACAAGTTGGGATCTTTTTGGTTCTGTAAAATGTATTATGAGAAATGGTGTAATGTATGCGCAAATACTGATTTAATAACCATCATATTGAAATAAACTTAATCATGCGATTATATGTTCTGTGGTCCTCCCACTACGACTCAGGAAAGCATGCAGTTTATTAGGCTTCAGATTAACTTCACAGGGTGGTGAAAGTGCACGTGAGAAGCTTGATGCTCCTTTCAATTAAATGTTGAGGGTCTTATTCTGGTGACATGATCAATGCTTGGCTGATGCTTGGCTGCTGTTTGGCTGCTCTTATCCATAATAATCTCATCATGTAGGTAGCCTACCCGCACTGTATCTGCAAGCTGTTGGCTAGAGCGCATGTGCCAAGACCAAAGTGGGTAAATTCGCTATATAACGCATCATTTGTTGAGACAAAACCATCAGTAAAGTTGAAAATGCGATAGAAACCCATTTAACTTGTATTTTTTGTTCAGTACATGGGAATTTAACCGCAAAAGTAATTTTGATGTGTACTACGCCATCACGAACAGGCTTTTTTCTGCAACAAGTCAATTTGATGGAAACATCTCTGGTGGGAAAACATTTTTACATTCGCATTGAAATCTGTCAGCAGTTGGAGCTAATGACTTCAAAATGTTATACTGAACGACTGACTACAAAATGTTACACCGTTGCAGGGTTTTTTCTGAATCAAAACGGAGCTTAGGCGTTGGCATGGCAGTGGCCAATGGCACGGTCACCAACCGAAAAGAGGCGCTCCTCTTGAAAATTATTTACAAATTAAATTGGCCCGAGAAAACACTTAGTTTTATGACTATGACTACAAAATGTTACACCGAGTGACGGATAAGTAGCCAACACGTCAAATGCATATGAAATACTTAAAACTATTTGTGGTGCGTCTGATTTAGCTGGTCATTGGTAAATTCAGTAGCCCTGACATGACACTGTTACACCAAATGACTCACTTTATACAAGACAGTGAAGACACCATTGTACTTTACATGAGGTCTGATGTGAAGGCAGTGCCCTAAATTTGTCAGTGTTTTCATACACATTAGTCCTACATGTCCGTAAAGCCATGGTTGGCGTACCAGTTCTCTCTCCAGGGCTTTGATCCTGTTCTCATACTGAGTCTTCTGGTCAGACAGCTCCTTCTGGGCCATCTCTTTGGCCACCTGGATCCCCTGCATCATCTCCTCTTTGGCCTTCAGCCTGGCCTCCTCAATCTCCTCTTCCAGTCTAGATAGAAACAAAATGGCCGCCTAGTTGCATTAACAAGTTTCCGAACGAGTGCAGTATTGATCATCAATGTGATCTAAAAATCTTTTCACAGAGTACAAATGGGACTTTCAGTTATTCACATTGACGTGTGATAGGAATCATATTGAAATAGTTTCTGAATCTTGTGGTCGACTCACTGTGCTCTTTGCGCGGAGAGCAGCTCGTTTTTGGCAAACTCAAAGTCCTTACGGCCATCGCCGTCACCCGTCCAGCACGACACGCGTTTCCCAGATTGCACCTCTGCCGGGTGGTTGAAGCGGAAGTAGTGGTCCCCGCCCAGGATCACCCTGTCGCCCTGGAAACCACAGAGAGAAAGACCCCCAAAAAATGAGTGATTCATGATTGAGCTCACAGTCAGGTTTCTAATATTGTGCTTTTTATTATTAATTGTATGTGTGTACACAATACGTACGTGATGCAGCACAGTGGTCTCAGAGACCAGGTTCCCGTTGACAAAGGTCTTGGCGTTTTCCATGGGGATGATGCTGACTTCACCATTCACATTGGAAATGACACTGGAAAGGAACATTTTAGTCAATTCTAGCCATAACACAACTGAAACCATACAAGAAAGACAACAAAAGGGCACTGGAATAGGGGTGTTTCCTATTAAATAAACTGCAGAAAAAAAATCTACGGACAGACAGAAGGACAGACAGGTCAAGAATGACAACAAATTACACTATGTCAAACAAACATGAAAATATAAGCACGTGACAGACAGGACTCATTAGTAGGCTAAACGAGGCTACGGTGCTTCCCCTTATTAAAAGAGGCTATTTAAAACAAAAGAAGCGGTGGGTCAGTTCTCCTCACCAGTGGTGGTCAGCGATAAGGGCCCCAGACAGCTGGATGTCGTGGGCGGACTCTGACTTGTGCTTGCCGACCTTGGTCTGTCCCTCCTTAATCATGTATAACAGCATCTCTGACAGCTGCGGGTCCTCGTTCAGGTTTACCAGGTTGGGCAGCCGGTTGTCCACCTTAAACATGACGCCCGCTTTCTGAGAGGGAGACGGGGAGAGGGAAGCAGACAAATATAGGAGAGAATTGATTTTGAAAACATTTACAACAAATATTGCTGAAACCCTCATATTAAAACACCAATGGTATTCCCTGAGTTGGTTTATATTTAGGATAGCAGCTTTTTTATACAATTATTTTAAAAAAATCTTATTTGATTATTTTATATATTTTACATGTGATAAGGCCACATAGAGGGCCAGAGATAATTACAGACACCTGTGGTAATCTGAAGTACCCAAAAAGGCCACAAGATGTGATCTGATAAAATAAAAACATGAAAGTTCACAAAATTCTGGTAGTTTACTGTTAACTTAAAAAGTTTCCAGTAATATACGCTCCCTTTGCAACCCTAGTTATGAAGCTAAAGGTCATTTTCAGTTAGCTTATAACCTAACTAAAACTGACCTGTAATGCTTTGGTTTCCTCACGTTTGCGTTTCTCCGCCTGCTCCAGCTTTTCTCTCCATGCTCTGACAAGAGGTAAAGAAATCCGATTAAAGTAACAAACCAAGACTAAAACAATTGTTCGGATCCATTTTCATAATTTCCTACCTAGATCACAGACCCTCTCTGGGACTAGTGCCTAAGATGTGTGGAGGTTTTATGGTGGTCACCTGTGGGCCTCGGCCATCTCCCTCTCCTGCTGGGTTAACTGGCTCTTCAGAGCTAAGATCTCTTGCTGGAAGAGGCGCATTTTCTCCGGCTCGATGCCCTGAGAGCTCATCTGTGCAGCCCGCAGCTTCTCCACCTCAGCTTTCAGCTCTAGTAAACAAAGACGCACAACATAGTTTGTTAAATTTCCGCTATAACAGAAAAGTGAGGTGCCATTTTGTATGAGCTTTTGTTCATAACGATCACATGTATGACTGTCAAAAGGCAACTTATACTTGCAACCTACCCTTTAATACACATAATATGGTGACAAACCACAAACGGTAGATGGTCTCAAAATCTCTGCACTGTTTCCCATTCCCTGGTCAAATAAAGCTTTTGCAAGAGCTCCCCCTAGCACCACAAACCAGGAAATGTGGCGCAGCAATCTCCTTTCAATAATACCTGCATGACAGTTGACTTAGCCCCGTGTAATGTGACAGTGTATAAATATGTCCCGTAGGCAAGGTTAGAGCCGGGCTACCTAATAGAATCTGGTGATGGATAGATAGGAAAAAGAGAGAGAGAAAGGCAGAGAGATGGATGGTGGCATGGCGAGGGAGAGTGAGGCTGACCTCTGATGAGCTTGGCGTTGGTGTCCTCGTTGACCTTGGCCACGTTGATGATCATGCGGGCCTGCTTGGCGTACCGCAGCGTGCTCAGGCTCTCCTCCACGTTGATGCCCGCCGGGCTCAGGGTGGCGATCATGGCCGTCTTGGAGTTTCCGCCCAGGCTCTCCTTCAGCAGCCTGGACACACACGGGCGACACAAACGATATTCAGTTTCCCTCTCGACAAAACTACTTACTTCGCAAACTTCTTACTTTACTTCACCAACCTCTCGCAATTTCATAAGGATATCTTGTATAGGTAGTTACTTTACCACCAACACAAACCATTATCTTTTCCCCACACAGTTTATCAATGTTAAATAGTACCAATGTATTCTATTGAGGAATGTAAATCTCAATATCTCCTCATTAGTTTCAAAAGCTTGATGAAATGTGTTTGTAGTTTACAATACTGTGGTGTGAAAATATATGCAGTATGAAAATGTATGCACTCACTAACTGTAAGTCGCTCTGGATAAGAGTGTCTGCTAAATTACTAAAATGTAAATCTGTGGCAGGGTAGGGGTCGATTCCATTTCAATTCAATCTCTCAATCGACTAGATTATAATGGAATGGAGCCCATCCCAAGTGTCTGTATAACAGGCATTCATCTCTTTAGTCTGTCAGTGAAGTTTCTCTCACTCACCATGTGAGCACAGAGTCCCTGTATGGGGTGAAGACCTTCCTCTTGGTCTGGGCCTGCTCAGACAGGGCAGAGATCACCTTCCCCAAGGTCAGCAGCGACTTGTTGATGCTGGAACCCTCCTGGGATACAGGGGAATAGGATACAGTTAGGCTGGATGGATTTGATAGAGATAACAGGTTGGCTCCAATTTCACTGGTTCTGAACTTTGCAAAAAAGGAATGACAAAAAGTGGGAAATGTCTTTCCAAGGAAATTCACTTCCTAATATATGATAGGCTATAGTTTAGGCTCCGACATTGACTTGAAATAAATATTGATAACACGTTTATTTGTCTATGCCTGCAAATCGTCTCTATATGCATGGGTGGAGAAGCACAACCTAGTTGTATTTTCAAGGAAATTAACTTCCTAAATATGATAACTAGGGTATATTTAGGCTCTGACATTGACTGGAAAGAAATATTTATAACACATTTTACTGTCTGCAAATCGTCCCGCTCGTAAAAGTTATGCAAAAAGTAGCTCAAGTCAAGTGCAAATGTCCGCTCTCCTATTCTATTTCGCCCAAACCTTTCTCTCTTTCAAAATACGTCTAGCCTATTGGCTGATATAGCACAATAATAAAGATAACCTAATATAATAGGCCACGTGAGAATCTCTGGTATTTTAACCTATTTCTTATGCTATTATGGCACATTTTGATATTGCCTAGGGTGGCAAAATTGCTGGGACTGGTGCTGCGTCACATAGGCTACACCTAAAAGAACATTGCGGGACTGCGGTTGGGTTCGGGACCAGTTCTTGTGGGAGCGGGTGGGAGTCGGACAAGAAGTCAGCGGGAGCGGTATTAAAAGCTGCGGGAGCAGGATGAAGAAATCAGTCCCGCGCAGACCTCTATTACCAGCGCTTACCCTGAGGCGGTCTCCGCTGGTCTGGGCTGAGGAGCAACGTTCGCTGCCTGCCAAGTCCACCAGGTTGATCCTGCTGGTGATCCTGTGGTCATGTTCTTCCCCTTCCACAAACTCAGTCTACACAGACAAAGGAAGAACAGTCACACACACACACGTGAAACATACAGGTAACTGACAAAATAATGGAAACACTTGAGTAAATGAGGGATACAAAATAGGTGTTAATTAAGCAATTAACATCCCATCATGCTTAGGGTCATACAGTGGGGAAGAAAAGTATTTAGTCAGCCACCAATTGTGCAAGTTCTCCCACTTAAAAAGATGATAGAGGCCTGTAATTTTCATCATAGGTACACGTCAACTATGACAGACAAATTGAGAAAAAAAATCCAGAAAATCACATTGTAGGATATTTAATGAATTTATTTGCAAATTATGGTGGAAAATAAGTATTTGGTCACCTACAAACAAGCAAGATTTCTGGCTCTCACAGACCTGTAACTTCTTCTTTAAGAGGCTCATCTGTCCTCCACTCGTTACCTGTATTAATGGCACCTGTTTGAACTTGTTATCAGTATAAAAGACACCTGTCCACAACCTCAAACAGTCACACTCCAAACTCCACTATGGCCAAGACCAAAGAGCTGTCAAAGGACACCAGAAACAAAATTGTAGACCTGCACCAGCCTGGGAAGTCTCAATCTGCAATAGGTAAGCAGCTTGGTTTGAAGAAATCAACTGTGGGAGCAATTATTAGGAAATGGAAGACATACAAGACCACTGATAATCTCCCTCGATCTGGGGCTCCACGCAAGATCTCACCCTGTGGGGTCAAAATGATCACAAGAACGGTGAGCAAAAATCCCAGAACCACACGGGGGGACCTAGTGAATGACCTGCTGAGAGCTGGGACCAAAGTAACAAAGCCTACCATCAGTAACACACTACGCCGCCAGGGACTCAAATCCTGCAGTGCCAGACGTGTCCCCCTGCTTAAGCCAGTACATGTCCAGGCCCGTCTGAAGTTTGCTAGAGTGCATTTGGATGATCCAGAAGAGGATTGGGAGAATGTCATTTGGTCAGATGAAACCAAAATAGAAATTTTTGGTAAAAACTCAACTCGTCGTGTTTGGAGGACAAAGAATGCTGAGTTGCATCCAAAGAACACCATACCTACTGTGAAGCATGGGGGTGGAAACATCATGCTTTGGGGCTGTTTTTCTGCAAAGGGACCAGGACGACTGATCCGTGTAAAGGAAAGAATTAATGGGGCCATGTATCGTGAGATTTTGAGTGAAAACCTCCTTCCATCAGCAAGGGCATTGAAGATGAAACGTGGCTGGGTCTTTCAGCATGACAATGATCCCAAACACACCGCCCGGGCAACAAAGGAGTGGCTTCGTAAGAAGCATTTCAAGGTCCTGGAGTGGCCTAGCCAGTCTCCAGATCTCAACCCCATAGAAAATCTTTGGAGGGAGTTGAAAGTCCGTGTTGCCCAGCGACAGCCCCAAAACATCACTGCTCTAGAGGAGATCTGCATGGAGGAATGGGCCAAAATACCAGCAACAGTGTGTGAAAACCTTGTGAAGACTTACAGAAAACGTTTGACCTGTGTCATTGCCAACAAAGGGTATATAACAAAGTATTGAGAAACTTTTGTTATTGACCAAATACTTATCTTCCACCATAATTTGCAAATAAATTCATTAGAAATCCTACAATGTGATTTTCTGGATTTTTTTTTCTCATTTTGTCTGTCATAGTTGACGTGTACCTATGATGAAAATTACAGGCCTCTATCATCTTTTTAAGTGGGAGAACTTGCACAATTGGTGGCTGACTAAATACTTTTCTTCCCCACTGTATATAAAAATGCTGGGCAGGCCATTATTTTGGCTACCATTGCTAAGGTCCCATAAGATGACAATGCTCCCATCCACAGGGCAAGAGTGGTCACAATGGTTTGATGAGCATGAAAATTATGTAAACCATATTCCATGGGAGTCTCAGTCACCAGATCTCAACCCAATTGAACACTTATGGGAGATTCTGGAGCGTCGCCTGAGACAGTGTTTTCCACCACCAAACACAAAACATCCAATTATGGAATTTCTCATGGAAGAATGGTGTTGCATCCTTCCAATAGAGTTCCAGATACTTGTAGAATCTATGCCAAGGTGCATTGAAGCTGTTCTGGATTGTGGTTGCCCTATTAAGACACTTTATGTTGGTGTTTCCTTTATTTGGGCAGTTACCTGTATGTGTGTATACAAACAGACACACAAATGAAACAAGTGTGCATAAAAACAGAGGCACAAAGAACCACAAACACAAAGGACACAAGACAAACAGACCCAGATCATCATCAGAAGAAACAAATCATTGGTCATCAGTGTGTGGATAATATGCATTTAGATGCAAAGTAACTCTAACAGCATACACACACAAACAAAGAGACAAGGAGGGGAGGTTCACCTTGGTCTGGGTCATAACCAGAGTGAATACGGAGTGGGATCGGGAGCTCTTGTCGTTCATGCACGTGGCTGCAGTGGCTCGCTGCTTGTTCCCAAGCTCCAGCCAACCCTGGGAAGAGTGTGTATTCACAAAACATTTACTAAGCAGTGTTCAAAAGAGCTCGCTACATATCAGGGGCGGATTCAGCAGGACACGTTTTGGAACGTTCAGATAGAAATATGCCATGTAGACAGACATGCCTTTCTGTCATGTTGAGTAAGGATCACATCAGCTCTATTAATGGCATTTCTATCTGCAACGTTCAACAATGTTTGGTAACTGAACGTGGCCCAGTGTTCAGAAAGTGTCTGCAAAGCAACTTACCTGAATGTCCACATAGGAGCTCACCACGTTCCTGTGAGCAAACATACAGTCAGTGAGTGAATCCATAAGACTAGCAATCCATCATTACATTTAACAAGTTAAAAATGGAAAGAATAAGTTTGCTCACGTCGACAGCTCAGAAACGTAAGGCCCGTCGACTGGATGTTCCCTCACCCTCAACTACAAAAACAGAGCATTTGGTCATTATTAAGCTCATTGATGTAGAATGTAAAATGGCATTGAGAAACTACACAGAAAAAAATGCAGTTCATAGGACCATTCAATAGAAATGACAGGATTGCAATGTCATGTTTCAATTCATATCGGTTATCTTTAGGCAGTTTGTCCTACTCACAGGCAACCTCTTTTGGTTTTGTTCATTCCTGGCGATGAGCAAGTCATGGATTTTCTCATTGTACACCTCAAAGTAGCTCATCTCCAGATGACATGTCACCTGTAACACATCAACAGCCACATAAAAAATGCATTGAATGATAACTGAACAGCGTCAACAATATGTGCATCTTGGTAGGAATATTATCTGAATTAATAGCTAATAGGGTACCTCCTGATTTTCAACCGCAGACAGCCTAGAGAAGAGCTCCTCGCAGAATTTTGGTGTTACACCTGCCTCTTCCCCAAAACCCATCATACTGCAGGAGAGTAACGGAAGAACATACAGTCAAATTGAACATATGGATGCAACCAGTTAACTAGGCTTGCTTCACAAAGGAACATTACATTAGTCCAGGGGGGCAGGACCGAGTTTGGGCAACCCTGCATTAGACCAATACATTATACGATTTGAGTGTTTCTTCTCAAGTTGTGTGTGTGTGAGTGAGAGTGAGTGAGTCTTACGTGTAAGACTTCCCAGATCCAGTTTGGCCATATGCAAACAGACAGGTGTTGAAGCCCTCAAAGGCCTTCTCCAGAAGTGGCTTAGCTAGTTTTTCATACACCGTCTGCTGGCTGGCAAAGCCGGGGTCACTTTTGTCGACGGAACAGAAGGAGAAGTCATACGCGAAGGAGTAGCTCTGCTTGGTGTCTGGATGTTGGACAAGAGTCTCCTGGTTATCCATGAAGATCACCTGCGATGCTTTCTCTTTCTTCTCCCTGAATATGAACGAAATACATATTTAATTTTCATTTATTAACATCGCTGTTTATGGATAACTGTAGAAGCAAATTAGTAGGGTGAATACAAGTGTGGACTATTGTTGTAGTTCAAAGACGGCAATATTTATGCCAAACTAGAAATGTAGTTAGAGCTGGCTGAATGCGATTTCAATTAACAATCAATCAATCACAAACAGATGCTAAATATTTGTACCTGGTGTTGAATGGCCTCACTCTGACCGCAACTGTCACTGCACTGTTTTCCATTTTCAGGGTATCCTGTTCGTGCTTTAGCATCGCACTGGGTCGGAGCAAAGGCTCGGTGGAGATGGCAGGTGTCGAGGACCTAGCCATGGTCACGTCGCCATGGATTGAGTTCTTTCTCACCTGCCCTGGCGGCAAGGTGGAGGTCACGTTTGCTCTTTGACTACTGACCAGAAAGTTGTTAGTATGGGGAGTTGCAACAGGCTTTGCAGCTTCCACAGTCACCTGTGCATGTGTCTTCGGCCTCTCTAGGCCTACCGTTTTTACTGTCACCACCTTTGGGATCTCTTTCCCAGCCAACCTCTCAAAGGCATCCTTCTTTGCCGTGATTTTCTCGAATGGAGTATTTTTCGTGGGTGTTGAAAAAGTTCTGGTATGGTCCTCTGGTTTTGTCACATCTACTTTACCCGGGGTTGCTGGCTGTTTTGGTGCAAATCGTTTGACTCCTTTAGTTGGAGTGTTTAAAAGATTAACAACTTCTCTTGATTTACTTCTAGATGAGCTGTCCCTCAGACTGAATGACCGCAATACAACTGCACTAACAGGCGTTCGAGGGTTTGATTCTGAGAGAACTTTGGAATGATGGGTGTCGGTACCGCTGACACAGCGTTGTCTCGAGCTCTCGGTTGCTTTGCTGGTGTCATTACTTGCGCTTTTGTCAATTGAACCAGTCCTGGTTCTGCGTTGCAACGTCAGTCTTTTCTCAGGTACAGGTGTCCTATTCTGAGTGATTTCCATTGTGTTTTCACTCATCGCTTTGTCGCCGTTTGCACCCGTTTTCCTCTGTAGAGTGAGTCGACCTCGACCGGGGGTGCAATTCCTCTGACCTCCGCTTTTTGACAGCGCTGAGTTAACATAGGTAGTGTTTATCTCCTTGGTTTTATCCAATGTCAATAATTTCGTATCGTCCCCTTTGATCGTTCCTCGCGCAACTTCCTCCACGCTTATCTTTGATCCTTTTTGGTCTTTTGTGTCAGGAACCCTTGGTGTCAAGAAATTGTCATAAAAAGATGTGTGCTTTTTCACAGATATCGAGTATAAAGACATGACTGAGTAAAAAAAATATATAAAATAAATATATTAAAATCCTAAGTCAATTCCAAAAGAAAATGTTTTTTCAAATGTTTCCAACGTTATCTGTATACAAATCAATGAATGTGCACATCTTCCCCTGCAAAAAGTTTAAAGTTAACGTTAGTTTTATTTATAAATGGATAATTCGGACATGTTATGAAACAACAGGAGCTGGCTAGACAACAATGCATGCAATGGTATTTGGTTGTTTAACTTTAGTTAAGTTGTTTTGCGACGTTAGCTTAGCTAGCTAAGTTAGCCAGCTGACGTTAGCTAACTGTCTAGAAAACATTGCAAAGCTGAAAATGATAATCGGATCAATTTACTTCTTAAACGTGAAACATTTATATTTGCCAGCTACTTCTCAAAATAGAAGAATTGAACACATTTTTTTGTGGGTTTGTTTACCCTTTCACTGTCGTGGTTGACATCTCTTCCACTTCTGCCCCGCGTCGATTTCAAACTCCTATCAGCGGTGTGCTATTGGCTAGACACAAATTACGTCATCGTCCACAGCAGAACAAAATAAATGCAGAGCCTGTATTTGAAAAGTAGATGGCAGTATTTCCACGCTTGAGACTAGCTCCAACATCTAAACAAAATGCTTCGACGTTCCAAAATGCACAACTATATGACCAAAAGTATGTGGACACCTGCTCGTCGAACATCTCATTCCAAAAGTATGTGCATTAATATGGTTGGTCCCATTTGCTGCTATAACAGCCTCCACTCTTCTGGGAAGGCTTTCCACCAGATGTTGGAACATTGCTGCAGGGACTTGCTTCCATTCAGCCACAAGAGCATTCGCGAGGTCGGGCACTGATGTTGGGCGATTAGGCCTGGCTCGCAGTCGGCATTCCAATTCATCCCAAAGGTGTTCAATGGGGTTGAGGTCAGGGCTCTGTGCAGGCCAGTCAAGTTCTTCCACACCGATCTCGACAAACCATTTCTGTATGGACCTCGCTTTGTGCACGGGGGCATTGTCATGCTGAAACAGGAAAGGGCCTTCCTCAAACTGTTGCCACAAAGTTGGAAGCACAGAATCGTCTAGAATGCCATTGTATGATGTTGCGTTAACATTTCCCTTCACTAAGGGGCCTAGCCCGAATCATGAAAAACAGCCCCAGACCATTATTCCTCCTCCACCAAACTTTACAGTTGGCACTATGCATTGGAGCAGGTAGTGTTCTCCTGGCATCCGCCAAACCGAGATTAGTCCGTCGGCCTGCCAGATGGTGAAGTGTGATTCATCACTCCAGAGAACGCGTTTCCACTGCTCCAGAGTCCAATGGTGGCGAGCTTTACACCACTCCAGCCGGCGCTTGGCATTGCGCATGGTGATCTTAGGCTTGTGCGGCTGCTCAGCCATAGAAACCCATTTCATGAAGCTCCCGACGAACAGTTATTGTGCTGACATTGCTTCCAGAGGCAATTTGTAACTCGGTAGTGAGTGTTGCAATCGAGGACAGACAATGTTTACGCGCTTCAGCACTCGGCGGTCCCGTTCTGTGAGCTTGTGTGGCCTACCACTTCGCGGCTGAGCCGTTGTTGCTCCTAGACGTTTCCACTTCACAAAAACAGCACTTACAGTTGACTGGGGCAGCTCTAGCAGGGCAGAAATCTGATGAACTGACTGTAAGTGGATGACCACCGTGTTGAGGCCCATGACCTACGGGGGACCAATAAAAAAAATATATGTATTCACTAACTGTAAGTCGCTCTGGATAAGAGCGTCTGCTAAATGACTAAAATGTAATGTAAATGTAAAATGTAGCATCCTATGACGGTGCCACGTTGAAAGTCACTGAGCTCTTCAGTAAGGCCATTCTACTGCCAATGTTTGTCCATGGAGATTGCATGGCCATGTGCTCGATTTTATACACCTGTCAGCAACGGGTGTGGCTGAAATAGCCAAATCCACTCATTTGAAGGGGTGTCCACATACTTTGTATATATATCGTGTATATCACCATATTGCATGTAAAAGAGGGTCGAATCCAAATGACAACTCAATCAAGTTCTCATATTAATTCATAAAAAAATGACAAATTACCCAGTTATAAAAACAAAGTAACAATAACAAGTGCATCTGTCGAACTGTTTCTATCTTTTTAAGCTCCTGTGTTTCCGGATGATGTCGAGGAGGTTGGTCTTGGTGACCACGACATCATCCTCGCCCCTTTGCGTGGCTTTCTGCTTCTCCTTCCTCTGCTGCTCGTGGAGGTGGGGGGAGTTGAGGAGCTGGGGTGGGGGCAGCTGGGAGCCCGTGGGCTTCACCCGGTTCACCACCTCCAGGAACAGACGCTTGTTGTTGTTGTTGACCAACATGATGGCAGTGCCCCAGTGGCCCAGTCTGCCTGCTCTACCCAGCTGTGAGGAAGGAGTGACAGGATACAAAAAATGGCTTGTGTGTGTGTGTGTTGCCACCAAATGAGTGGCAACACACACACACACACACACACACACACTTGTAGACTATACTATACAGAAACTATTCTGTGCAAGATGCTCCCGCCAAGATGCGAGAAGGCATTGTCTCAAAAATGTATATGACAAAAACACATCAGATTTTCCCATGCACAACAATTGCAAATTCACCTACCTGATGAACATACTCGTCCATGTTGAGTGGCATGTCAAAGTTCACCACCAGTTTGACGTTGACCAGGTTGAGCCCTCTGCCCAGTACGCCAGTGCTGACCACCACTTCAAAGTACCCTTCAAGTAGACCCTGAGGAGAGAGTACAAAACAGCTTAAAGGGATAATACTCTTTATGGAACGCAAAAGATAATGTTTTAAAATGTTTTGCAAAGGAAAATGAAAATTAGTGTTTCTTATTGGACCAGTCCAGGCACTCCCACCCTGTTTCAGTCAGTTTTCTTCCATTTGGTGCCTAATGAACCAAACCTGGCTGCCATTGGCCTCACCTTGAGGATGCGGTTGTGTTCCCACTGGGTCTTGTCGGAGTGGATGACCACCGTGTTGAGGCCCATGACCTACTTCACGGCCTCACATAGCAGGTCTGCCCCCAGTTTACAGTCTAAAAACACCACCACCGGAGGCTGGTACAGTTTCCCATCCTGGGCGCATACAAGATAAACACACAGGTCAGTGGTGTTATACAAAATATGATGGCCAGCTCCGTCACAAAAACATTACTTCCTACATCTAAGGAAGAGTTGATTTATTATGCTTGTTGATGTTTTATGCTGATGTTTCACCACTCTGTGTGCATTTACTATAAGTAATCATAAGTAATGTAAGTGGCTTGGGATAAGACTGTCTGCTAAAACCTATAAAACTAAACCTATAAAATAACATGATAATTACATTTTATTTCAGAATTGTTGGTCAACAGACTGTGTGGGTTGCAGGTAAAATGCAGGAGTGCAAGTCAATATCCCCCTGTATGACAAAAAAAAGTCTGATTACTGTGCAGTAATGCCATTTCTCCAATGGGTCTATGAAAGAACTGCCTCTTCCAGCTCCCTGCCTTGTATAGATGGTATAAATCGTTGCTCAGTTTCCTGGAGCGGGGCCATGGCTGAGGGCCAACCCATTTCCTCTGGAGAGGGGGGCAGGGCTGCAGCGACGGCTTTCTAAATATGGTCCAGTGGGAGTAGTCTTTAAGAGCTACAGCAGGAATTTAAAAAAAATCAGACTTAATAATACTCCATTCTGAGAGCGTCTGCTTTATGACACTATACAGAAATTACTGACCAAACCCGAAACTTAAATTAACATGAAATAAAATCTACACCAGGGTTGGGTTCATGAGGGCACGCAACGGAAAACATTATAAATAATTTTGCAGACACGCCCCTCCCCATTTCAGTCTATTTTCTTCTGTTTGGTGCCAAATGAACAAGACCCAGTGCACTGAAGAAAAAACTAACAGTTTTCATATATACTGAACAAAAATATAAATGCAACATACAACAATTTCAAAGATTTGACTGAGTTACCGTTCATATAAACAGACAATTGAAATAAATTAATTAGGCACTAATCTATGAATTTCACATGACTGGGAATACAGATATTTATCTGTTGATCACAGATACCTTAAAAAAAGAAGGTAGGGGCATGATCAGAAAACCAGTCAGTATCTGGTGTGACCACCATTTGCCTCATGCAGCACGACACATCTCCTTCGCATAGAGTTGATCAGGCTGTTGATTGTGGCCTGTGGAATGTTGTCCCACTCCTCTTCAATGGCTGTGTGCAGTTGCTGGATATTGGCGGGAACTGGAGCACACTGCCATACACGTCGATCCAGAGCATCCCAAACATGCTCAATGGGTGACATTTCTGGTAAATATGCAGGCCATGGAAGAACTGGGACATTTTCAGACAAACTTTGCTAGTAACAGTAATGGCAAAATTGCCATCTCTCTAAAGTAAATTTGATGACATCATAAAATGGTAAAGTCATTCTAAGTTAGTGTAATTTAGATAAAACAGTCACAGTAGCCTTCAAGGTGCAACACATGTCTAGGGCACAAATAAATATTGGATGCAGCTATTGTGGTACTAGCTAACTATAATTGAGGGATGATGAAAACCGTTCACCCTGTTTTTCTGTTAGACAAAGTGCACAGTTGGGTGCCAGACTGATCCCCTTGTCATGAACGGATGCCGGGAGCTACCAGAAGGAGCAATGGTGGGTATCATAACATGTCCAGCAATGTGATTGCAATGGTTTAGCGACCTCCAAAAATCTTTTCACAGCTTGTCAGGCAAAACCTCAGAATAAAAGTGTGTCATGCAACACAAGTACCCTTGTGACACTTCCTCCGTTGTTGCCAGTCTCCCTCGACTCCTATGAAAAGGACATGCCATCATGAGGCCTCTGATAGTAACCTAACGTAGCAGGCGTAAAATAAACGCCTGAAACTAGATCCCGTACATACTGGTCTTGATGAGAAGAAAAATAACTGTTGGGGGAGGTTATTTTCTGCACTGTTCAACCAATCCAGTAAATGTGGAGGAGGAGTTAAGATGGAGTGTCGCCTTGTTAACGTTCAAAAGCAGAAGTCGCTTCACAGGTTCTCTTTCCATTTCCCCTGAAAACCGGAACATCCGATTTTGATAGTGACTTGAGTTACTGCCCTGATGACACAGACGGCTTCAGCAACAATGACAGGTAATGTGTGTTATGTGAAATGTGAAAAGTTGTATTAAAAATACCTGGCTTGATAAACTAATAGGTTAATTCCCCAGCCAAGCATATACAACTAGTAGAGTCGTTTTGGTTATGAAGTGCATTAGCAAAAAGCTTTTTCCTTTCTTTACCACTTGGCTGTCTATTATATCACCCTGTCACAGGCCCTCCCAGTAAACACCACCTCATAAGATTGCCTGCTGCAGTTGTTCGAGAGATGCAGCCGAACATGCAGCATAGAGAAGACCAGCAAGGGGGCCCTCATCAGCAATGCAGCATCATCAGCATCATGCAGAAACATGCCC